TTTGGTTTGTATATTTGTTAGTTTTATTTGTATTATGTCTATATTGTTTCATTATTATTATAAGCTATGTTAATTGTAAGTTATTATAAGATAGTGATTAAGTATTTGGTTTGTATATTTGTTAGTTTATTTATAATAGGGTCTATATTGTTGCATTATTTATTGTTACTATAAAAAGGGAGAGATGTGGTGTATGTAATACCTAAATATTATTATAACAGTTGTAAATATGTGACTAATAAAGAGATGATTACCACATCACGATAGTGAGGATTCATTAGTCGTCGGTTATCGATGCGGTACACATCTACAAGCAATACAAGTGTTTTATTCCAAATACCTATTATAAAATAGCGAATACCACAATAATTTTCGTCCTGATGCCACATAGTCGGATCGATTTTCAAAAAAGAGTCATCGATATTCCATCGCTGAAAGAATCTTCTTGCTGGTGTATTATAAAACAAATAATTTAAGATTGCCTAAAAGATATTTAGGTAGCACCAATATTGGAAAAGTACAAAATTACGTTTCAAAACACACTAATTATTCATTAAATGCAAATTATTACTGTATTTTGATTTTTATGCCATTTTCAATAAAACAACAATAATAGTAGGTAATAATTGAATGAAGTAAAAAAGACCCAACTATGGAATATTTTATTGTTTCAACCTTTACTTGATGAAACTCCATGTCACTAATATATAACTGGATAAAAAACAAACACTGTTTTTGAGTTTCACGAATTTATTTAAATTTTATGACAATTGTTTCGCTAACACAGTTGCTTCTTCAAAAATGATTTCAAACTTATCTAATAACGAACTTATATAACACAATATTGCAGGTAATGGGTTTTTTATAAAATATTAGTACTGTATAATTATTTTACCTGTCGAAGTTTAACAAAAGTTGTAGTAAAATAATTTTGGGGATTTTCTATCTTATATAATATTAGAATAAATTATTAGTTTCTATTTGATCATTTGGAATAATATTAGATTTTTTTAATTTATTAATTTCCAAAGATTCCAGCAAATTTAACTTCGTACCCTTATTTTCAACATGCAAAATTTTGAAATTATTATCAAATGAATGGCTTTCTTGAATTAAATGGTTAGCAAACGTTGAATCTGTTTTTTGATTAATAAAAGATTTTCGATGTTCATTAATTCTAGTTTTAAACTTGCGGCCTGTTTGTCCTATGTAAGTTTTTGGACAATCTGGACATTGCAGTTGGTAGACTCCAGATTTCGTGTCTTTCTTAGGTTTGTATTTGTTATTTTTTATAAATGTACTCAAATTGTTGTTGGTTTTGAAGGCTATTTGCATATTATACTTTTTGAAGAAATTCGACACATGTCTTGTCTCATTACCTAAGTATGTGACAATGTTATATGTAGCTGTAGGGTTCTTTAGTGTTGGAAATACTTGGTTTATAGCCATTTTCAGTTTTTGCCACTTAAAATATTATTAATTAATTGTGTACTATAACCATTGTTCGTTGCAATTTGTTTAATTAAATTTAATTCATCTTGAAAATCGGATTATGTCATTGGTACGTTTAAAAGTCTGTGTATCATGGAATTAAAGGCTGCTATTTTTTGAGAAAAAGGATGTGAGGAACTATTATGTACTGTTATGTCTGTGTAACTAGGTTTATGGTAGATTTTAAATGTGTGAGTATTATTCTTTTTTTGGATAGTAAGATCTAAAAAGTTAATTTGATTATTTAGTTCTTCCATTGTAAATTTGATATTGGGGCCCCACCGGTGTATTTGATTAATAAACTTTAGGAAGCTATTTAATTGTCTTTTTGTACCTGTAAAACATGTTAGGATGTCGTCTACATATCTGTACCAATATAAGAATTGTTTCATATTAGGATGTTTATGAATAATTAATTCTAAGTGGTTTACAAAAATATCAGCTAGTAATGGACTAATTAATCCATTATGGCTAGTGTATATTTTATTGTTAAATTGGAAGTAATTTTGTTTCAGGCAGATTTCTAGAGTATTCAATATGTCTTTTTTAATAACTGGATTGGTATTATTTAGATCTAACAGGTTATTTAATATATTAATTGTTTCTAAAGGGGGTACACTGGGAAATATCCCAGTACCTAACAATGCTAAATTAATTTCTTTTGACATTATTAATTTATTTCCCAGTGTACTCCCTTTAGAAACAATTAATATATTACATAACCTGATCTAAATAATAGGTACCAATCCAGTTATTAAAAAAGACATATTGAATACTACTCTAGAAATCTGCCTGAAACAAAATTACTTCCAATTTAACAATAAAATATACACTAGCCATAATGGATTAATTATGGGTAACCCACTTAGTCCATTACTAGCTGATATTTTTGTAAACCACTTAGAATTAATTATTCATAAACATCCTAACATGAAACAATTCCTATATTGGTACAGATATGTAGACGACATCCTAACATGTTTTACAGGTACAAAAAGATAATTAAATAGCTTCCTAAAGTTTATTAATCAAATACACCCCAATATCAAATTTACAATGGAAGAAGAACTAAATAATCAAATTAACTTTTTAGATCTTACTATCCAAAAAAAGAATAATACTCACACATTTGAAATCTACCATAAACCTAGTTACACAGACATAACAATACATACCTAATAGTTCCTCACATCCTTTTTCTAAAAAAATAGCAGCCTTTAATTCCATGATACACAGACTTTTAAACGTACCAATGACAGAATCCGATTTTCAAGATGAATTAAATTTAATTAAACAAATTGCAACGAACAATGGTTATAGTACACAATTAATTAATAATATTTTAAGTAACAAAAAACTGAAAATGGCTATAAACCAAGTATTTCCAACACTAAAGAACCCTACAGCTACATATAACATTGTCACATAGGTACTTAGGTAATGAGACAAGACATGTGTCGAATTTCTTTAAAAAGAATAATATGCAAATAGCATTCAAAACCAACAACAATTTGAGTACATTTATAAAAAATAACAAAGACAAACCTAAGAAAGACACGAAATCTGGAGTCTACCAACTACAATGTCCAGATTGTCCAAAAACTTACATAGGACAAACAGGCCGCAAGTTTAAAACTAGAATTAATGAACATCGAAAATATTTTATTAATCAAAAAACAGATTCAATGTTTGCTAACCATTTAATTCAAGAAAACCATTCATTTGATAATAATTACAAAATTTTGCATGTTGAAAATAAGGGTACGAAGTTAAATTTGCTGGAATCTTTGGAAATTAATAAATTAAAAAAATCTGATATTATTCTAAAAGATCAAATAGAAACTAATAATTCCCCCCTGTTAAATTTATTCTAATATTATATAAGATAGAAAATCCCCAAAATTATTTTATTACAACTTTTGTTAAACTTCGACGGGTAAAATAATTATACAGTACTAATATTTTATAAAAAAACCCATTACCTGCAATATTGTGTTATATAAGTTCGTTATTAGATAAGTTTAAAATCATTTCTGAAGAAGCTACTGTGTTAGCGGAACAATTGTCATAAAATTTAAATAAATTCGTGAAACTCAAAAACAGTGTTTGTTTTTTATCCAGTTATATATTACCTTACTATGGACATATATGTCAAGAATTCATGTATACATGAATTCTTTTTTTTTTGTTTAAAACTACCATATTTTCCCTTCATTTTCTCAAAAAGTTAGAGATGTTCATTAATTATAATTAATAATTAATAATTATTAATGATTTTATAAAATTATTGCGTTTTAAAACAAAAATCCCCTATATGAAAAAATGTAAGTAATAATCGAGCGAAGTAAAAAAGACCTTCGGATACAAATACATGATTTCTTTTTTTTTTGTTTTAAAGTAACTTATATTCTCTACATTTTCTCAAAAAATTATACATTTTCATAGATTAATGATAATTTTTAAAAATTAATGCATCAAAGGCAAAAATCCTCTATCTGGAAAACTTGTTACAGGCAATAGAAGGAAATAAGTTAGGACATTCAAATTTGGCATACATTTTTTAAATATTTTTTAAAAACAAATGAGGGGGCGGCACGATGAAAATTTCGACAAAGGTCGAATAAGAACCACCCTAATTATTATAGATTATTTTCTGAGGAAGGAACATTTGCGGACGAGGCTAAGGAATTTCTGAAAAAATTAAAAAAATTAGAAAAAAAGACCAAAAAAGCTTGTGATGCTGTAGTGAAGGATACAAAAAAACAAGAAATTAAATATGAAGATACTTTGTATAAAGAAACAAACAATGTTGAACAAACGTAATTTCTAACTACAAATTTTTGAGTATGAGTATGAGTAATTTCTAACTACAAATTTTTTAAACAGAAATCTATATTTTTTCGAAAGTATTTAACTTACAGAAACCATATTTGACGTGAGAATTGCCAACAGATCAAGTTTTCCAAAAACTTCTAACCTAAAGGAGGAAAAAACGCATTACATCATCAAGTTTTTTCCTTCACAAAAATTACAAAATCACATTTGAAAGTACTAAGCTTACCCTTCAAAATCCTCTTTGATTTTTCTCAATACCCTTTTTTCCTTTTTTCTTTTCGAGAAGCGTTACTTAAAATGTGAGTTTTCAAACCATATAGGTAGTTTAGGTAAAAATTTGATTTATTTTGATAACTTAGAGGAGATATTTTTTTAAAAGAATTTCAAAGTGGAACGGGTTCTGTGTAAAAAATATTTCCTAACGCGATGGAGCATCAAAAAACTTTGAAAAGCTAAAGTCTGATTTCAACAAATATGTTGGGTTGGGTTTTGTAGACTTGTGTTATTACTCTTATTTAATTTGAAGGTCTTTACCTTTTATGAACACCATTCAATACCATGAAGAAAACACAGGTTTGGAAAATAAAGCTAAAAAGAAAATATCAAACGATATTAATGACATAAAAAATAGCATAAGTGCTGCCGGAAGAAGCTTACAAGGGATTACGAAACTAATGGAAAAGGGAGAAGGGAATTTAGACGAAATACAGGAAATTGACAATTCTTTTAAGGAGATCCTTAACAATATTAATGAAATGAAGAAATACCTTTCACATCCTGAACCCTTAACTGCATTAACAAATAGTAAGTATTTTTTTAGGAAGCAGGAAGAAAATTATATTTTTTACGATTTATTTTTCAGTGCATCTTTGCTTAAATCCACCTAAGGAAGAAAATAAGGATAGCGATTTAGAAACAACAGACTTGGAACACAAAATGAAAGACTACACAAAAATGTTGTTCGACAAAAAACCTGTAGAAGAAATCAAATACCTCAGTAAACTAAACAGCGAACTCTACAAATCCTTCAACGAAGTACAAACAAACACAATAGTAAGTATAGTCGAAATGTTTATTAAATGATGCCGCATATGGTGGGGCTTAGCTTGCATGGTTCCCTGTACCAGTCTGGATCTCGTTGAGTTCCGTTTCTTCGATAAAATGAATTTTTGATTATGGCCTGGTTTCCAAAACCCTGATACTGTTTCGGACTGCTCCACATTTCCCAACCGTAATCAAAATTCGTGCATTCTGGAAAATAGTAACGATTTTCCGGAAGAACGTTATAACGTTCCTTTAAATATTTGTTGCGTGCATCCGGAACAGCTGAAATTTAAATAAATAGCATTAGAACATTTGGGTTTCATGTTGAGCCAACATATCAGATTTTCGCGCCTATGCAAATTATGAAGGGTTTAGCAAAGGAAATGTTCAAACTTTGACAACTTTCCCGCTCTTTGAAATTCTCCGACATTTCAAGATATTCAAAATTCGCAAGATAAGGAATTTGAGAAAAAACCTGTAAAAAATCTATCAAACCATAAAAGAAAAGCCTTCATCAACCTTTTTAGCACACAAAATGGTTTCAGGTTCATTTAACAATGGTTACAGTATTTTGGAAAAGTGCGGAAATTGTTTAGCAGATTTATTCAATGAACACGTCTGCGACGTCATGGACGTAATATCGACGTTAGTATTCTGTCATTTAGTTGACCAATTGTTGACGTCATTTTTGTTCCATACATTTCACGTAATATCGACGTAATATCGACGTTAGTATTCCGTCATTTAGTTAACCACTTTTTGACGTCCTTTTTTTCACGTACAGTGTGTGTAATTTTACGTATTTTTAATGACCGGTTTTGGTTTTAAAATTATTATTTTAAAATTATCATTTCATAAATTAAATTATATGCATATAATTTTAAAATCGAAACTGGGCATTAAAAATACGTAAAATTACGTACATTGTACGTGATTTAATAAACGTCAATGTAGAATACGTTAATATCACCTAAAATATAAGGGGTAAAAATGACGTCAATAATTGGTCAACTAAATGACTGAATACTAACGTCGATATACGTAGAATGTATGGATCATAAATGACGTCAACAATTGGTCAATTCAATGACGGAATAATAACCATGGTTATTATTCCGTCATTGAATTGACCAATTGTTGACGTCATTTATGATCCATACATTCTACGTATATCGACGTTAGTATTCAGTCATTTAGTTGACCAATTATTGACGTCATTTTTACCCCTTATATTCTAGGTGATATTAACGTATTCTACATTGACGTTTATTAAATCACGTACAATGTACGTAATTTTACGTATTTTTAATGCCCAGTTTCGATTTTAAAATTATTTTATTATTCCGTAAATGAAAATATATAGTTATTATTCCGTCATTTAATTGACCGAATGTTGACGTCATTTTGTTCCATACATTCTACGTAATATCGACGTTAGTATTCCGTCATTTAGTTAACCACTTGTTGACGTCCTTTTTTTTCATACATTCCACGTGATATTGACGTTATATATATTGACTTTTATTACCTAACTCACGTACAGTGAACGTAATTTTTCGTATTTTTAATGACCGGTTTCGGTTTTAAAATAATTTATTATTCCATAAATGAAAATATATGGTTATTATTCCGTCATTAAATTGACCAATTGTTGACGTCATTTTTGTTCCATACATTCCACGTAATATCGACGTTACCCAGCAAACAGAGCTGTAACCAACTCGTGTTATTCATTATAAAGATCTATATATATTCATTATATTTTTAAATTAAATTTGGAAAAAAAATTAAATAATATAAATTAAATGTAAGCGGTATAAACACTAATTTTAAATTAAATAATATAAATTAAATGTAAACGGTATAAACACTAATTTAACAATAAAATAAATATAGAATATACAAGGTCGATAGCCGGCACTCGGCATTAGGAATATCCACCAAGGCAGAGGGCACTTCCTTATTTCACATCCTTATTTCAATACTGTTTATTTCAGTTTTTGGCGTCATTTTTATGTAACCTATGTCATAGGGAAATAATTCGACACGGTGACGACCTTGTCTCCACAGTGGTCCTGAATGAGTCATAGGCTATGCCTCGTTCAGGACCACAAGGTCGTGACCGTGTCGAATTATTACCCCCTCTTAAAAACCGAAACCTGCTATGATGCGTCAGCTGTTTACACCAAAACTGCCCTACTATGGAGAAAGGCAGTAACTGGAAAAAATGCAAGATGCGTTTTCTTGTGCTATGGTAAAGCTATGGACATTTTGTAACCGAATTCAACACAGAAATGCAGTCAAATATCTTATAAGTTAAAAAAATCAATTAAATACCTACTGCTTTTTATAAAAATGTAGTTCATGCTAATTTTCCACAATTTTTTTGTTTAACAGTTACTGCTTTCTCCAGAGTAGGGCAGAAAAATAACATACATATGTAATACATATGTATGTGATAAATAAAATCACATGTGACACGCTCTAAGAAAACGAAAAGGGAAATTTTACTGGGGACGCGATTAAAGTTCTTGCAGCATTGGAGCTTGTGCAGTAACGCTCGTCTTCGGAAATTCGTAGCATTGTACATTTTTGAGATAACAAATTATTGGATATTATTATTGTATATCGTGTACTACTCTAAACAATCAAAATCTCGAAAATCATTTTTAGGACCCAAGGCTTGTTTTCTCGGAGCGCGTTAAATAAAACTATATGCAAATTTTTCCCAAGGTCGTATAAAGTTCGGAGGCGCTTATTGGTAAACCCTTTACAAATGATATACATATACCTGAAATCAATATCTTTTTAACATCTGGATCAACAGGTTTCATAATATTCAGGAATTTTTTATCAATCGCATCTGTTTCTTTATCCCCGTGTTTAACCGCATCATCGTGTTTAAAATCTTCCAGTCTGTTGGCAATAAATTCCCGCTGTAGGTGTTCATTATTAATATTTTTATTATAATGTACGGGGAAATTGGCACGTTTTTTTGTTGAACTCTGATAGGTTCTATACCATTTTAAAGTTAGCGCAGTTTCCTTTTCGTACATATGTATTAAAAAGTCTTGGTGAGCAGTTGTTAAATCTTTCTTAGGGGTCGTCATATTTGTTATAGAACATGTGTTAATTTGGTTTACTAGAAAGAATTTTAATAAATTGACAATTTTAATAATTTGACAATATTTGTCATAATAAAACAACCAACAAAACACGTTTTTTTTATAGAAATACCTAAATAATACAGTAAAAGAAAAAAATGAAACTGAAAAAAATCAGCCATCTTACGATACTATAATGAGTGAGACATTAGACAAATACAAATGCTTTAAGTTACAATATGAATTAGATTGGATAGAAAATATCAAAACATTTATCAATTTTATCAACCAATTAAAAAATACGACAGCAGATTATAAAACCACTTTTTTTCAAAATCTAAAACACGATATAGTTTTGACATTAAATAAAAATTTTGAAAGTATGGAGAATGGCTTAAATGTTTATGCAAAAGATTTGGAGAATATTTACATGGGTATACACAATAAATTAAAAGTTATTCATGGTCTTCCCAAAAATAAGCATTTATTGGATAAGCTTAATGAAGAAATGAAAAATGTGGAAGAAAACTACCAAAATAGAGTTGAAGAAATCCTTTATCCTTTAAAAGTACGTAAACATAATTTGAGTGTATACTATATGTATATTAATTTGTAAACCTTTTAAGGATAATTATATCAAAAACTACAATGTCCTATTGGAAAAACTAAAAATGGGCGGCGGCTTTGTTAACTCTTTTAATGTAAATATTACTTTATTGGAGGGATTAGTTGATGATTTAGAGAGACAGATGAACACAATAGTAGAACTGACAGAAATTGAGCTTAATAAACAAAATTTTACAGAAAACAAAGATACAAGTAATTAAAAATAAATGGTTTTAATTTAATATTTTCAACTTGTTTTAGACATGACTCAAATGTTTTTAAAATTAAAGGATAAAACATATGAAATAAAGGAAGGTAAATACTTTGGTTCAAATTCAGTTTTAAGTGAAACCATTGATTTTAACGAATATTATGAATCTACCATAAAGGTGAAATTTTTTTAAAATACCCCAAACAAAATTACTTATTTTTATTATTTTTAGAAATTAGAAATTTTATCGGCGGAGCACTTTGATAAAATTAATAATATGGAATCGAACGATGAAAAGATGCACGAAAAATATCAGAAAATGTGGAAATCAGACACAGAAAAAGTCTGCAGTCTGTACGCAATTCAGTATACATTAAAATCGGAAGGAAAAAAATAAAACGTTTATTTATTAAAATTTAATTTTATTTCTATATTCGATTTTTACACATACATATATGATATATATTATATGTATTATTCTAAGTATATAAAATACCTAAATTACAATAAAAACTATGAAGCTACTTTATTTAGAAATATATGTACAAGTTCCTTTGGTTTATGTCTTGAAACCTACAAAGTTATTAAGTCTTTGTAAATACCACAGTTCAATACTATTCAAGACACGTTATATACAACAATTTATCACAAATCATCATGGACGGCATGTCATAAGAGTTTGTTAATTTTAGAAAATCTCATAATTTGAAAAAGCGCTAATTTCTTAAAATCTGTCATGTTATGTTGTGTATAATTAGGTACTAATAAAGATTATCAAGATGAGTTTTTATATAATGTAAATATATGTAATTAAGTAAATTTTTTTAAGTAATGAGAATATAAAAACATGTTTTTATTTAAACAATAAGTTGTAAACCTAAAATAAGTTAATTAAATTTGTTCTAAATTATTTATGTAGAAATGATAGTTTGTATTTGTTTTTTGTCTATCCTTTCTGCATGGAGCCTTAATGCAAATTTGAAATATCAATTAAGTTAAGCATTAAATCTGCTTTAGGCCATTATAGATTCTTAAAATAACTGTTCAAAAATAAATATTAAAGTTCAAAATATCAAACGAAAATAATCACAAATTAGTCTTACGGTGCTAAATAAGTCTCTCCTCTGGCGGAGGTTTGAGAACGTGGTCCAATTCAACTCTTGGGTTACAAAATTCCTGAGCACTGGGACTGTAAGTTCCCCTCGTTGCTCTCTTACTTCGAGCAACGTTTACCAGCACGATCATTACGACGGCCATGCCTATTAGAATTATTAGGACGATTGGAATTACTATGTAAAGAATGTTGAAGCCGTCGTCGGATTTACTAGCCAAAATCTGTAAAATAAAAAATATATTTTTATAATTATTTTAAAAAGCATTTTGTTTAGAGATGGGAATCGGAAAGTTTTCATTTTAAGGAAAGTTTCCTTTTTGGAAAGTTTCCAGTCGGGAATTTATTTTCATTTTAAAAGTTTCTTTAAAAGTTACCGGAAACTTTCCCTGTTTTTTATGTAAATGTCAATTGTTTAACAGCTGATTTGCGAATTAAGGCCGAAAAACTGAATAAGAAGAAGTTAATTTGTATTAATTTAAAGAGGAAGAAGTTTGTTGAAGATCTCATCATCACAATTCATAAATCTTTTGCAAAAAAACCCTTTTAAAAGGTAAACAAAATAAAATCAATAAACAAAGTTAAAATCATTCTAACGTTTTTGTCGTTTATTTATATATATATACAATGCCAAGAGAAAAATCTTATATTTAGAAATAGTGCAAAGAAAATACCAAAAATATTTGTCAAACATATAAAAAAGTGTCTTTGTGCCCCACAAAGTAATATCTTATATTACAAGATTATATACGCAAAATTTTAAGTCTACTGAAAGTCAAAAAGAGAGTCCCCCAGGGCAGAGTTGGGAGTACTGAGTATTTTTTTTAATGGATTATGCTATCATTACTAATTATTACTTGATTTTATAATTGTAATGAGAGAAAAATATATACTTGTACTTTTTATTTTTACTTTACCAATTTGATAATTACATTTTTTTTTATTTTGTAATTATAATCAGAAAAAATATCAAGTACTTTTTATTTTAACTTAAAATGTTTACTGATTCTAAATATTTTTTTATTTTATAATTAAAAAATAATAAAGAACAGAATACATTATATATATATTTTTTTTATTTGATTAGAATGGTGAATAAGGATACTTCTGTGCTTGTTTATGTTTTTATTGCGACTAGTTTCGATCTATATTAGATCATCTTCAGGCAAACTACAAAAATATGTAAAATTATTATAAGGTTATGTTAACATGATAATGATAAATTAATAGTTTAAAGTAACAATACAATGGTTGATAACAAATATTAAATACTTACATTTCAATAATTAAAATATTTGTAAAATATATTTAAAATATTTAAATAATTAAAAAAAAAGTACAATCAATTTTTTACTTTGACTTTAAACTTTTTGCATTACGAAGTACTAAAAAATATTATTTATTCAAATTAATAAGTACAATTATTTTTGTATTTTTACTTTAAATCAATTTAGAGTAAAAAATACAATGTATTGATAATTTTTATTTTCTCCATTCTCAAGTAACTTAAATATTCTAATGGCAATACTTTTTAAGTACAAATCTCGCAACTCTGCCCCAGGGTGGCAATTCTCAAGTTGAGAGAACGATTTCTCATGAGAGAAGTGAGAGTGTTTCACTTAGGTTTTGACAAGCTGCATTCTTGAAATCATGCGATGGTTTGGTTCTCCTAAAGCGGAAAAGAGTTTCCGAGAGAAGAACGCACTTACTTATCTTAAATTCAATAATGCAGCCTGTCAAAACTTGAGAGAAACACGCCCACTTCTCCTTTGAGAATAGCGTTCTCTTAACTCGAGAATCGCCACCCAGGTAGCAATGCCAGTACTTGAAACATACAAAGAATTTTTTGATAACATGTCTCTTAACAGAATAAATTGGAAGAACTAATTGCTTGAGCAATTTACTCTAGTTCTTGCCACTTTAATTTAGTCGAAAACCCTGATATTTTTAACAACTACGTCCAAGTTTTAAGCTACCTGGAAGAAATAAATTAAGTAAAACATTGCCTAAGTCTGAATATTCTAGAATCCAAAAAGTAGTCGAATATAGAGTACAAGAGGCTGATCATGACACTTCTTTCAGATGGTTGGACAGACGTCAATGGAGTGGCACTAATAAATATAATTGTAGCAACTCCAGAGCCTGTATTTTTAAAAATGATAGACTCAGGCTCACTTACAAATGTTGATTTTATTTTGCCTGTAGTTTTTTTTCATATTTTATTGGTCAGAACTGCAGTACTACAATTTCCGCAATAATTTTTTTTTTAACTTTCGGAAAGTTTTGGGAATTTTTTGATGGAAAGTTTCCAGGAATTTTCGTCAAATGGGAATTTTCCCATCTCTAATTTTATGTAAAAAAATGTTTATAAAAGTTGTATTAAGGACCTTAATTGCGTCATCATATTCGCATGAAAGGCGGAGACGTACGTATGTCGCAGCAGTTCCAGCAGTAACAATAAAGCAGAGTTGCAAAAAACGCATTTTTTTTTAATGCAATGATATTTCATTGCTCATTTTTATCATAATGAGTAATGAAATTAATTTACATTACTCATTTTTTTGTTTAATGGAAAAATACTTGTACATTTCTCATTTTCAGTTTTTAATGAGTAATGTAAGAATTTACATTACATTTTTTATTTTAATGAGTAATGTGGATTTATTTCATTACTCATTTTTTTTTGTTTTAATGGGGGAAAATGAGTATTTTTTGTTGTAGATAACATTTGTTTTTTATTTTTCGCACGATTTTCATTGGATATCATAATAATATACGAAATATTTGTAACGAAAATAGGTTGTAGTTGGAACTTAGGGAAATATTTCATCTAAAGATATCGCGTTTTAAATACCAAAAGGGCGTACCTATTACAGCAGTTAGATAGGGTTTTGTGCCAAAACTGCGGATACAGCTAAACCAAGCACGGATTTGTAATCTACGACCAAAAATTAAGTTTACGTGTCCGAGCGTTTAGCTGTGATATTTTTACCTCCCTACAGTGTTATTATTTGAATAACAATCAAAAAGTCGCAGTACACTGTAAAAAAATTTGTGGAGTAGGTAAATGCGGAGTGGATTATTTTCAATTGATTCACTCTAACCAGGATTAAAATGTACTCCGAGAAGGATTTATTCGATATTATTAATAGAATTCACTCCGCAGAGTGAATTATTTATTTATTGAATAAAGATTAAAAATATTTGTTAATTGTTTTAAAATTATAAAATGCATATTTAGAGATTTTTTTAATTAAATTTAACATAACTTTTTTGAATTTTTGACATAATTTGAATTTTTATCAAAATTTGAATTTTTTCCAATTTGACTTTTTTTATTTTTTTTGAAAATTAAAATTTTTTTATTTGATTTTTTTGAAAATTTTAATCATTTTCAAAATTTGAATTTTATTTTAAAATTTTAATTATAAATTTTGGCAAATTTTTTTAATTTTGAAAAATTGTCAAAATTTGATTTTTTTTATATCGACCAAAAAGTTTTTCCAAAATTTGATTTTTTATATGCTGACGGAAAAAAATTTAATTACCCATTACACATTTTTTTTTAATGATGTTCCATATGGAATAATAATAATAACAGTTGAATCTCGATATAACGAGTACGCGATATAACGAAAATCCCGCTATAACGAGCTAATTGCCGGTCCCTTCAATTATTGAATAGTCCCCTTTGCTTTTTTTAAACTGTCACGAGCTGTCAATGACAGCCTGTCATCAAGACAATAGGTATAGTGACAGTTAAAATTTTTCTATTTTACCAATTCTTGTTATGGCACCAAGAAGAAAAGCGTTGTCCTTAGAATACAAGGTTCAAATACTCAAAAAAATAGATGACGGTATGAAGAAGGCAGATATCTGCCGCGAAACTGGCTTGGCTAGTTCGACACTTGCGACAATCATCAAAAACAAACACAAAATTTTATTGGGAAGTGAAACATTTTCGTCAAAAGTGAAAAAGATGCGACCCTCAAAGAATCCGGAGATGGAAAAAGTCTTAGTTAAATGGTTTTCCTCTAATCGTGCTTCCAATGTACCAATCAGTGGCTGTCTTGTTAGGGAAAAAGCCCTGAACATTGTTGAAACAATCGATAATTCCCCAACTATTAAATGTTCCGTGGGGTGGCTTAATAGGTTTAAAAAAAGACATAATATCGGGTCTGCAAAGATCTGTGGGGAAGCTAAAAGTGTGGACAAAAGGGCCGTTGAGGTCTGGTTAAAAAAATTTGCAGTTGCAACTAATGGTTACAATGAAAAAGATATTTTTAATGGAGATGAAATGGGGCTATACTATAAACTAACACCTGACAAAACTTTAAGATTTAAAAATGAACCGTGCGTTGGAGGGAAATTGTCAAAGGAAAGAATTACTGTCTGGGTGTGCGCGAACATGACCGGTACAGATAAAAAAAGTCTTTTTGTAATTGGAAAATCAGCTAAGCCCCGATGTTTTAAAGAAGTCCAAAATCTACCTGTAGAGTACAAGGCCAACAAAAAAGCGTGGATGACAGCGAAATTGTTTAAAAAAGAACTTGTTCGCTGGGATAAAGAACTAGTTAGAACCAAGAGACGCATCCTTCTTATTGTTGACAACTGTACAGCCCATCCACAGTTAAAGAAAGAATTAAAAAATATCAAAATATTCTTTCTACCACCCAATGCATCGTCTGTTCTTCAACCTATGGATCAGGGAGTTATACGTTCATTGAAAACGCACTATAGAAAACTTTTATTAAAGCGCATAATTGAAAGGTTGGAAAATGATATAGATGTTATGCCTAAGACTACTGTTCTTGATGCAATTCTTTACGTAAATGAAGCTTGGTCACTTGTTTCGGAAGAAGTAATTCGTAACTGCTTTAGGCATTCTGGCTGGCTTAATACCGACTTTGAAGCTGAAGATGAGATTCCGTTAACAGAGTGGATTCTTCGCCAAGATGTTTCAGTTAGTGACGAAATTGATATTGAGGAATTTGTTGCCATCGATGATCATTTAGCTACCAGTGCCATTCCAACGTCTGAAGAAATGATTTCAGAAATCATTAATAATAGTTCAATAGTGAGCAGCGAGGAGAGTAGCGATGAGGGAAGTGACAGACAAGATATAGAAGAAGAAATAACGGTGCGAGAAATTGGCGAGGACAGAGGGTTAGCTCCAACTAGTCAAGAAGTGAATGCAGCAATTTTAACAATTAGGGGCTTTCTTGAAAATCATGGCCGAGATAGCAAAGAAGAGCTGCTTGAGATATTGGGTCAGCTTGAAAATGGCATCCACAAAATTTGAAACTAGTTAATGCCTTCATTAATTTGTTTTGTTGTATTTTATTGGCTCTGTTAGTAATTTCTCTTAAATAAAAATACTTGTTTACCTTCTACCCCCTGGTTAGGTAATGAAGACTACCTATATTTAGGTAGTCTTCATTATTTAACCAGGGGTGAGATAGACAAAAGCTTTAACAAAATAAATTAGTTAACGAGTAGTAACTCTCTACCTATAGTGTGATTAAATTATAACGACAGCGGTATACAGAGAGTACCTATGTAGATTGTGCGGGGAAGGAAAGTATGCAGTAGAACATTTATTAAGGGAATGTAGTGAGTTGAAAGAATGGAGTGAAAGTAGAAAAAAATATGTTACATGAGGATAGAAGAGAAGTGCGTTGGATAAAAGAGGTACAGAAGAATAAGGAAACTGGGAGGAGAGCAGAAGTAATTTTGTGTTTGTTTATGGATGTTATATGAGGAGGTGCACTCCAGAACTCGGCTTATCCATATTAGTTGTTTTTGAGCAAAATGTCAAAAACCTTACACGTGAGTACTAACGCATATCAGGCCTACAGAATACTTTAAAAAGTGGATAAGCCGAGTTTTGGAATGGACCTCCTCATTTGGAATGTTTGTAAAGCATCAAAAGGCGATGAAAGAAAGCATTATTACTATTATAACGACGGCACTAATTACATCGATTTTAAGGTAGGTATAGTCCGTCCAGCCATGAAATGAGGTTTTTTTTATTTTTTTTAATTTCGCGCGGACTTGGTTAAGTTATCCTACCTATTCAGGTATTTCGTTTGAATTCGCACTACCCCATAAGTCAAACTGTTTTTATTAACATTCTTTTAAATAAAATATGCAATTTTTTGTGGCCTGTTTTTTATTTATTAACACTGTACAAATGTATTTGCTTAACTTGTCAATTACAGACAGCTGTCTAGACAGTTACAGAAATTGTGTTTGTGTCGCCTAGCATCTTGAAAATGAAGTTTTGAATATAACCAACAAAAAATATGAATTTTTTGGACATATAATGACATTAATGACTTAAAATTAAATAGTTCCGATATAGCGAGATTTCGATATAACGAATTCCCCTTGCGTCCTCGTTATAGCGGGATTCAACTAATAATAATATTACTTATTGCAAACTTTTTAAACTCATTGAATTGTTTAATGAGAATTGAAAATGTTTTACATTAAATTTTTTATTTTAATGGGAAATGGATTAGAATTACATTTCCATAAAAAAAATGACGAATGCATTATTTTTTACATTAGGATTTTTGCAACACTGCAATGAAGTCACATCACTGTATCCAAACGAAGCGATATGCCTTGAGTGAACAATCAACGCTAAGATCAAATAATCTGATGTCTTTGTCATCATTGTAGTTTTACTGTTTCTTTTCAACACGTTAAGCACAACAGTAACGTTGTGCGTAACTCGACAAAGCAACGGACTTCTCTCATGATTTGGACTTTATTTACGCGTACATAAGATTTGCGCGCAAAATTTTTGTGAGCGTAAAATTTTGTGTGTAAAGCATAGAGTGCTACAGTAAAATAATGTTTATTATACCTTTCCGTAATTTTAGCTTTTTGTTATTTTGGGTTTTTGTCATTTTAACATCTCTTTATTTTAGATTACTGATAACTTAAGTTGTCATAATTTTAGTTTATCGTAATTTTACCTAGTCAATATTTAAGCCTATTTTTTGTATTTGCAATAAATGCAGTTTAACTTAACAATCTTACCTTGGGTTCGGTACAATTTTTGCCGGTATAGTTTTCATGACACTGGCAAAAGTAGTCAGATTTGTCGACGCACTGCGAGTGACAGTCGCCGTGTGTGCAAGGATGGTCCGCCTCGCAGGGATCGTCCAGGTCGCAGTGGTGACCGCACTTGCCGTTAATATCGCACGTGCAGCGGTACGAGCCGGGCAAGTTTTCGCACTTACCGGCCCGACCGCACGCCTCTCGGTACGTCTGGCACTCGTCGATGTCGATTTCGCACAGAAGACCAGTGTAACCTATAAGAAGCAAAAGTTTAACACTAGTGTGCCTTTAAGGTATTCATTTGCAATCGTATGTGGCAGGATTCAAACGAATGAAAGCTTAATGCTGGATGATGATTTTAAGAACACGCAGAATAATAGAACTACATATTTGAGACCATTTTAAATAAACAAAAATAGAAAATCGATTTTTGACACCAAAACTCCCGTACCTGTGGACTTTTACAGTTAGGTGTTTAAGAGGCCTATTCCCTTTCTTGCTGTTCATAAACATCGATTTTTAAACATGTATGTTCACCCAACGACAACCCAAACATCACCTATGTTTAAAGCTATTCAGTTTCTGATATGTTTAAAGGCTTGACCTTAAATCTATCTAAACAGCGGTAAATGTTTCTTGGACAGAGATTTTTATAACCTAAAATTCGCAGATCGTAAACTAAAATTGTGTAAAATAATTATTTTATAAATCATTGTTGATATTTAATATATCAAATGAACTTAAAAACAACTTAACAAAATCCACAAATTCTAAAAATACTTAGAATATCTTTTACACAGACTTTGAAGGTCCATGTTAGGAAAAGGGAAAGGAAACTAGGCATTTATCTTGTCAAGGAGGCAGTAAAACAACTAAATGACATTGAGGATAAATTAACAGGTAAGTTAATGGTGGAGAGATTACCATCTTTTGAACTCTGCATTGACTAGCCTTTCAGGTCAACACAGGCTGTGTGGAAGGGCCCCTTCTACAACAGAGAGGCAAAAAGAGGCTGAGAGAAAGTCCTCAAACTCAGATGAGTAGCGAAGGTGTTCTTTGGTGTAGAGGTTTTAAAACCCTGCTTAAAATACCCCATAGAGACCCTGTTCAAACCGATAGATATTTGTATCAGAATGTATGGTGTTTATATAGGGTGTATCGGTATGTATAGGACCCATAGTTGGGATTTATGGTTGTTCTATAGGGATATCCACCCTTGATTTATTTGCTATTGGTTAAATAAATACACATTAATGTAGAAATTAGTTTTTCCCCCATAGAACCCTATAGGTTTTAATAAAATTTTGACAAATGTTTTATGATTGCTCTATAGGGATATCCCTATATATCCTTCATTGAGTTATTTGCTATCGGTCTCAATAGGGAAAATGTAAAAGTTATGGTGTGCCTATAGGTAATTTCCTATACATTTTCTATCGGGCCGTATCCGGAAAAAACCATGGACAAATGCACATATTGAATCCGATAGCGCCCGATAGATTATTTTGTATAGGTCTCTATGGGGTATTTTAAGCAGGGAAGGTATTGATAAAACCTAAAAGGGATTTTAAAATTAAACAAAAAAGTTTTAGCTTACATTTGAAGACAAAATTTGGGATGAGTTTGTGGATGCATATTTTTTTTATTTAATTAGTTCTTGTCTTTATTTTTGTGTAATAATTTTACACAAAAGTAAAGACATATATATATATATCACACTCTAGAAATTGCAGTAAACAACGATCTTAAAAGATACTCTGATTGGTTAGAATGGAATAAACTTAAAATAAATGTTAATAAAACTACATATATGATTTTTAAACAAAAAAACAAATACTTTTGTGAACCACATTACCCTAAATGATATAAAATTAAATAGAGTTAAACACACAAAATACCTAGGATTAATAATAGACGAAAATCTAAATTGGAGTAAGCATATTGAGTATTTAAAAGATAAAATAATTCCCATGGTGGGTGCAATTTATAAGTGTAGAGACTACTTGGACAAAAACTCAAAATATAACATTTACTATGCTTATTTCTATTCAATTTTAATTTATTTGATTCCGATTTGGGGTATTTGCTTGTCAAAGTAATGTCAAAGTTAAAGCAAAATTTTTTGTGAAAATTAGAAGATAATAATTCTAATATAGATGGAAACATAAAATATGGTACATGGATATGGATATTATTTAAGATAGTTCAAAAGTTGGAGTGAAAATAAAAATAAAATGTATAAAAACGTAATCCTGTTATTGGGCTCTGGGCCTGTTGGATACGAATAAATAAATAAATAAACAATACTATTTAACAAAATGCAAAGACTACAAAATAAAATCATAAAAGTAGTATTTAATATTCCATATCTAACAGCAACAGAAGAAATATACAAAAAATTAACTATTAAGCCACTAAAAACAGTAAAAAAAATTGAACAATGTAAATTAGTACATAAAACAATCAATAAAAACAAAAAACTAATCATAAATTTATATTATGCAAAGAGATTCATGATCATAATACTAGAAATCAAAGCAAAATTTACTTATCAAATACACATTCTAATATAGGTTTGAATAATCCAATAAATCGTAGTGTGGAAATATATAACATGTTACCGCAGTCAATCAAAAAAAAAATAAGGTTAAATTTGAAAAGAATTTCGTTTTGACTTCATAATAACTTTTGATTGAATGAATTTAGCCAAAAATGTTAAGAGGCTTTTTTGTAAAGCATTTGATTTTACATAAGAATATTTATCGGTTTTTTTATGGGTACTGATTTTTACATGAATTTTAAAATTCCAAAGTTAAAAGATCAAAATGTAAAACTATACCAATGTTTAGGGCATGCAAACGGTTCATTTGACGAAAAATGTCATTTAACCTTTTTTGTAGAGCATTTAATTTTCTTAAAAAAATATTTTTAAGTAAATTTTGTTAAACTCAATGGTTTGGGAGTTCTGAGACAAAAACTTGATGAGGAAAAAAAAATTAAAATTGCGATGATAGACCTCTTAATATTAATATTATGGACTCAAACTTTCACAATAATTTTTTTTGTCGAACCAAACAAAAATAGTTGATTTTTTTGGCCCAGTCTAATATATATATAGTATTACTCTGCCATCCTTTTAACATGTATTGTCAAAGGCTTGACCTCCCTCTCCCCAAATTCTCACGTCACACTCAGATTTTTTTAATTTTCTTTTTTTTATAAATAAATTAATTTAATCAAACAATTTAGTAAAGAAATATTTGTATTTTTGTATTATGATAATTAAAAAGTATATTTTAATAATTAAAAAAACAAACCATAAAAATATTTTTAATATTGCAAAGTAAAATTATTAGTTTGGTGTGACAACTTATGTGATTTGTCCTATTCTCATTACGTTCTCAAAGATCAATTATGTTCATTAAACAGCGAATTTTGGAAACGGAATAGCAAATTAGACACCGATGATGTTTATAAACAAACATGGATGTTTAAGAAATTCTTTAAGCGCATGCGTCTATAGACGAAATATTTGAAAGGGAATAGGCACATGTTACGAAACATTTGTAGTTCATGAACATGCATGTTCAACAAAAAGGAATAAGCCTCTAAGTTATTTGTTAAAAAAAAACATTTGGATATGTTCATGACAATTGGCGTTTCAATATTTCATTATTTAATTTTTGACTTACCAGTATTGTTGCAATCGCAAACATAACCAGCAATTTTATCTATGCATGTTCCATCATGCTGACAAGGATTTCCTCCAATGGAAAGGGCACATTCATCGATATCTATTTCGCAAAACTTCCCTTCGAAACCCGTTGGACATTGACAGTAAGGAACCTCTCCAGTATTGTTAATGCATTGCCCATTATCACAAGGCTTTCTCAAACAGAAAGGCGTGTCGCAAAGTGAACCCTCCATGCCTTCTGTACAGAAACATGTAAAATTGTTTCCGGTCTTCTCATCTAAAAAAATATTTAGGAAGATTATATTGTGCCACCAGTTGCACACAATATTTTATCCAAAAAACCTCGTGTGTTTTAAAAAATGAATAAAATATAATTAACTAAAATGCTTACTTGGTCCTGTTTCGCAGGTTGCTCCTTCAAAACAGGGTTTGTTGTCGCAAGTGACCAACAAAGGGGCTTCGCACTGTTTGCCGATAAAATCTTCCGGACAATTGCATTTAAAGTTACCAATCAGATCAATGCATTGTCCACCGTGTCGGCAGGGATTGCTTGCACATTCGTCAATATCAAGTTCACAACTGAAAAAAAATGTTTAAAATAACAGATCAATTAAATTCATGGAAAATGCACCCCAATATTAAAAAATTAAGCATAAGATAGATAATAAACATAGTTTTAACATTGAATTGTTTAAATAGGTCTGATAAACATTTTTAGATTTTAAAATTTGTTGAATATCTATTTAAATTTGTTATCTATTTGCATTGAAACGCAGTAGTGAATTCCAAATTGCTGACAGCATTAATATCTAAAATTTAATAATAATAATAATTTATTGCCCAACAGTTTAAAACCAGCTACAGGACAAATATAACTATAAAAATATAAAAAATATATAAAAAACACATTTAGATCTATCTATAGGTAAGTACAATTTGGAAACATTATAAAAACAGAATAATATATAATTAGTATATTGTTTACCGAGCGTGGAATCATAGCAATTACTCCCGATGATAAAAGTTTCCGAGCGAGCCGATAGGCAAGTGAAGGAATTCATTAAGGGAGTAATTGCGATTTCACTTGAGATAAACACTTTTTTGTCGAATGGTGCTAATTACACTGTAGGTAACTCCTATATCCCTTATAATAAAATAGAATTGGAGTTTGTTTGTTATTTATAACGAATGACTTTGCATTTACCAATATTTACGTTTAATCAGTATAACTCACACCACCTTTCTATATTATTAATTTCACTTTGTAGAGACAAACAACTTTTAACATCTTCAACAGCCCTAAAAAATCTTCAAGTCATCAGCAAATAGTAACTTTTCATAAGCAACACTATCTGGCAGGTCGTTAATAAAAATCAAAAAAAGAAAGGGCAACATGAGGAACTTCTGAAGTAGGAACAATGCAACTAGAATAAAAGCCATTACAACAAACCATTTGTTTTCTATTAATTAGGTACGTTTCTAGTAGTTTAATTAAGTCATTGCTAAGGCCAATATGTGCTTATAATAATTAATATTATAGAAAAAATTTGTTTAGACTAATTTATACCTGTTTTGCATTTGGGCAATATATTTCATTTTAAAACTGGAACTGTATATAATTCGCTAAATTAGGTGTAAAGCCTTTTCAAAAGTCGTAGCAGATAGGCAGTTTAAGCAGAACCAAGGCAACGCTTATTAAATAACATGGATATATATAATTGTAGTTGAAAAATAATGTTGGTAAGTGCCTTTAAATTTAATAGTATATTCTGTAACAAGTTTAGAATAGGGCATATTCCGCTCGAGTGAAAAGTTTATCACACGACCAGAAGTCGAGAGCGGAATATGCTATTTCAAAGTGTTTTAGACTATAATTTTTCTACGATTCCAAAAAATACCATAGAAAAATAATATAATTAAGAAAAAGTGAGGTTGGATTGGTCTAAAAGTTGTTAGATAATAAACACAGAGATGTCGCCACCAGTGTTTATTCCGTCATCCGGTGATAGAATGAATTTATTCAAAATAAATTGTTTCTACTCCTATTACGGAATGACCGTTCTAATATCACTTTTGGAATGACATAAAATAAAGTGTTACAGAATGAAATATTCTATCATCGGATGACGGAATAAACACTGGTGGCGACATCTCTAACAAATGTTAGACCGATCCAACCTCACTTTCTCCCAATTATATTATTTTATGGTATTTCTAAGAATTTTTAAGTTTAATGTTTTTTTAAATCGAATTTTATGATAGATTAAAATCTCGGTGATAATGAAATCGGCAAATCACTGACCCTAACAACTAATTACTAGCCCATAATAGTGTGCCAATACCATCATTAATCACTTTAGTGTCAAGTGTTAATGACAAGAAAGTTTGATTTATAGACACCTTGAAGAAAAAAGTTAGAATGTTTTTATTAAAAAACGTCACATTCGTTTTGTTTACCTTAGTAGTAGTAAAATGTAAATTTTACTTTGACAAAACGTAACGCAACAAAAAAATAAAATATTACATTTCTTTGGTAGGTACTTTCCAATGATTTTCTCGGCTTTTGCCTCGACAAAAACGTAAATTTCGTGAACATAGTACTATGGTCTCCACCAAAAAGTCCCACCACGTGACTGATATAAACAATAAATGTTAATTTTCAAAAATAATTAATATTAATTTTCTGTAAATGTCAAGCTAATTTCGTCTTATTTTTTAAAATAATACAACGACGATATTATAAATATCGTCGTTACTTATTATGTCTAAATTAAGAAATGTATACACAAAAAATACATATATTGCATTTTTTTAGAAAATAGGACGAGATTAGCTTGACACTGACAGAAAATTAACCTTAATTATTTGCGTCACGTGGTGGGACTTGGGTGTGGACCATATATGGTCATATATATGTATACTATATACATTGTATAGTCAAATATAGTCAAAAAACATCTGTCCTACTTTTGCCAGTGCCGTACGCAATAAAATTTTCTTAAATATTTTTCTTGACTTTTTATAATAATAAAATGCCTACAGTTATTACTCTTGAATATGGGACCATCTAGTTAGTTTCTGACATTGTCTTAAAAATATTGTCTCAAAAACTTCATATGATAATATCAAAATATTATTTATTTACTTGATAAAATTATTTTTTAAATTAGAAATAAATAAATAAATATTTTTTTTTCAATTTTAAACACCCTATACGCTAAAGAAGTATCGCTAGTAGCGCCACCACTCGGCTGTTATCATCGTAACAAAAGTACAACTTTTGATAATCAGCTGTCAAACGCGTGTGTTACAAACTAGTGTTTTTGAGAATAAAGACGGCACATGTTAAAAAATATCGAAAAAAAACCGTGGCATGATTTGTTGTGTTGTTGGGTATATTTCGAGAGGAAATCCTGAGTTTTTATCGGTTTTCCAATAAACAGTGTTAATCCGAATGAAGAAATAAATTTCATACAGTCGCTGTAAATATAAATTGTATCTATTAGATACAATAAATACACATTTTAGTAATGATTAACGTGAAAAGTGTAAACATTTCAATTCAGTAAAAATTGTCAAACAAATAAGTCGTCTAAATTCAAACAGTATTTAGCATTATTAAAAGCGTTGATTAAGAATTCTTTAAAGTCTAAACTTAACGGTAAAATACCATTATATTATGTATTATATAAAATATTATGTTGCCATGAATTCGTAGGTATATTTTGTTGTTTAAAATGTAGTTGTCGAAGAGAACTCAGATATAAAAATGGTTGATTTTAAGATTATGTTTGTGCAAACATTATTTTTTACTAATTTCTTAAAAATGTCCAAACTTAAATATAAATTATATTAGGTAAAGTTATTATTAGTTAATTCTGCACCAACAAATGTACCTACTTACCGAATTGGATCGTTTGGCAAAACATGAAAATGCAACGATTTAGTTCTTTTTTATTTACAATTAAAATCACAATAATTCACCATGATCCCTTAGATAAAATACACACACTAACGTAACTATATAAGCATTTAAGTGTTGAGTTTCTTAATCAATGATATAAAGAATAATCAATCGAAATCGAGTACTAAACCAGTTTTTTAGTTTTTAGTTCCTTGCAACGTAAAACACAAATAACGTGCGCGATTTAGCTGTGCAATTCAACAAAATTTGTCAAGTAAGACTTCTGCCTTCCTCTCTTTTGTGAAAAAACTACCTATTTATTTAAAAATGATTCGTATGCTTTAAATGTATTGTTGACAATTCTTAAATTCACGGAATGCTTTTGAAGTCCAACAGATGGCGCGCGCGTTGCGAAATCCCAATACTTCTTTAGCGTATAACTCCAAAATAATGAAGTTATGGACCTACGTTGATATGAACTTGTTTCCTGCATGAAATAATAAGAAACCCTGTATATGCTTTTATAAACAATATTTAGGCCTCAAAAAATTAGGACATGCCTCTACTTACGGTACTTATTATAACACCCTATCTACCAGGTAATAATAATAATAATAATTATTATTATTGTGAATACAGAAATCGATATCGTAATATCTCGATGGTCTTTTTATGACAAAGTCAACGTTATAATCATATGAAAACGGCGTTAATAATTTATTTCTTTTTAATTTATAAATTAATTCAAACTTAAAAAAATGGTCTTATGTTGCATGAAGCAATCAATAATTATTACTAAAAACGGATATAAAAATACACTTACTGTTCTCCTTCATATCCATCTGGACAATTACATTGGTATTTTGCGATCAAATCCACGCATGTAGCGTTATTTTGGCACTTGTTGTTCTCGCATTCGTTAATGTCTAACGAGCAATCGTCGGCAGTGTACCCTTCCGTACAGTTGCACTTGTATGTTTCCATCGGGTTTATGCAGTAACCCTGATTGAAGCAATCGCCGTCGTAGCAAAGAATGCATCCGATATCAGCATGCGTGTCGGGCAACAATTCGAAGAACTCCTTCGAATAGTGGTGTTTTTTGTAGAGCTCTTTGGTGGTGAAAAACGGCAATAATAGGCCGCCTATTCTGATTTCAGTGAGACAACCCTTAAACCTGTCGGTTTGCTTGTTTTGGTCGACTTTGTGTAACGCGACGTCCTCGATTTGCGATTCTCCCACTTCCAACGAGTTACTCGTCAATGAAACGGAAGTTGTAGTGTCAACCTCAGGAATATACCCGGTCATGTTAAAGTCCGTGTTTTTTATCGCGTTTTCATAATCGAATTTCTTGTTGTCGCTTCCTGCGATGTATATGGAACCGTTCATGAATATTTCGGTGAAGGAATTAAAATCGAAATTGCTCGCTTCAAAGTTTGGCGACTCATCCATAACATTTTCTTTGAAACCACCCCGAAATACGGAATCTTTGTAAGTGAAGTATAGAGTTAACCATTGGCCCACAAATCGGTCTTTTCTGTAAAAAAATACAGGTGCTCTTAGGTCACACAGCTGAAGTAAATTTAATTAATTTCGTGTTTTGTTTTTAATTAATCGATGTATTGTTTAGGTTTACTTAAAGATTTCAACATTTTTAATATTGACAATTTTATTTATTTAATTTATTAATATCATTTTCATAAAAAATTGTGACATTTGATTCTAGGTAGAAACAATAGGCTTATGGTTTGAGAAATATGAAACATGTCTTTGATCTTTTAGTATTAGCTTTTATATTTGAAAGCTTTTTGAGCTTTTGACCTGTTTTAAAGCTTAAAATTATGGAATTTTTATAAAATTCAAATATTCGAATATTGTAAATGGGGTTGGAACCTGATGTAGAAAATCAGTGTAAAACTACTTCTATAATAATAAAAGAGATTGGACACTCAAAACAACCATACCACTGAAAAAATAGAACGATTTTTGCTATCAATTCTTTCTTAAAAATGACTTTGAAAATAGATAAATTCTTTTGGTAGTGTGTCACGATGTTATAATATAAATCGTATATTTGTATATTTTTATGTATAATAGGCATCAAATTTAAATATAACATGAACCAAACATAAGCAAATTCTTCGACAGTTATACTCTTTTTACTTGTTATAAAACAACAAGTTCATACAATTATTTTTAAAATTTAATTTATGCACTTCCGGTATGTACTCTTCTTTAAACGATTTAAATTGTTTTTTCTACTCCCACCTTTAAAACGCCCTTTATCGTACATGTTTCCATGGCACTAAGTGACCTTTTAAATACACATTGATAAGTTGTGGCTTTATGGCGCTTTAGTCACGGGCTGAAGTTAGCAACAGGTTTTTAGTCACGGTCTGAAGTTAGTTTTAAGTTAGTTGACAGTTGTCAAATGTCATTTATGAATTAAAATTGGCAACCCGTTTTATAAACTTCTCTAGACACTCGGTTTTATTTAACAGTCGCTCGCAAGCTAAGCTCGTGCCTAATAAATCTCGTAACTAAAATGGCTTTTATAAAACTGGATACATAATATACACCTTAAAACGCCAATTATCGTACATGTTTCCCTGACACCAAGTGATCTTTTAAATACATGTTGACAAGATATGGCTTTATGGCGCTTTAAAGCTTTAATTAGCAAGAGGTTTTTAGTCACGGGCTGAAGTTAGCTTTAAGTTAGTAGACAGTTGTCAAATGTCATACAATCGTTAAAATAGTTTCTGTGAAATAATACTAAATGGTATAAATATTGTATTATCTTTTAACTAAAATTCAAAAGTACTGCATCTACATCAGTTGTTTGTCCATTATTAAGGGATACATTTTGAGTTAGACAGAAAAATGTGACATTTGCCGTCGGTAATACAGATTCCCATTCTTACGGTTACTTTATTTTTGTATAGATGTCGCTGTATACAAATATTTAATTTAAATCTTTTTAGATAATAATAAGTATTTGTCGTAGAAAAAGTATAATATGCACCTCGTTTATAAACTTTTAAATTTAATTAAACACTCGATTGATCGTGCCTAATTTAAATTCGTGACTAAAATGGTGTTTATTTAACTTGATACATAATATACTATGGCTATGTTCCGTAATTTACTGTCAGTACTGAAAACGCATTCCGAAATCCACTTTCAGTTACTGAGCTCAGTGGTAAATACTACCCTTTTATAAATGTACGGCAGATTAATTTTACTGAAACAACTGGTGAAAGAGAGGTGCTGTGGCTCCAGTAAAACATATATCCAAACTTTTATACAAAAAATAGCTGTCAAATAAAGTGAAGGATATAAATTATATCATATAATGGTATTTGGTGAATACCTATAGGACTAAATATTTCAATATTTATTGATAAATATTACTTGAAAGTACAAGCAGCAGTGACGAAGGCAGGTCGCCGGGGAGTACGCATACGAAGACCCAGAATATGAAACTACCTAAAGGATATGGAACATAACCTTGACACCATGCTATAAGGAGGCGTTCTTTCTTCAAGGTCATCGAAGCGTTTTAATTGTTGTTATTTTCAAAACGCAATAGCGTTCTCAAAAATGTTTGATTGATTGTATATTGGTAGGTATAATAGGCGTCAAATTTAACGAATGAAGTATATGCAAAATAAAAAATCCAAACATAAATTGTATATTGGTATGTATAATAGGCGTTACATTTGAAGATAACATGAACTGAATTCTCTGACAGTTATACTATTTTTACTTGTTATAAAACCATTAACAGCGTATTTTAGTTACCTATAAAGTTGATAACATTATTTTTTAAATTTAATATTTGCACCTCCAGTATATATTTTTCATCGATTTTTAAACGATTTATAGTATTATGTATCAAGTTTGATAAACGCCATTTTATACACGAATTTAATTTAGGCACGAGCGAGCTTGCGAGCGAGTGCTTAAGTTAATGAGTGTATAGAAAAGTTTATAAACGAGGTGCATACTATACTTTTTCTATGACAAATACTTATTATTATCTTAAATGATTTAAATCAAAAATGTGTATAGAGCGCCATCTATGAAACAACAGGGGAAACTGTCAAATGTCACATTTTTACATTTTATAAACACAATTATAAAGGTTATAAATCGAAATGTATCTTGAAAATTGACAGTTTTTCACACTGAAAGTAAAGGAAATGTTTTATGAGGACTTTACAGTAGAGTCCGTGCCCGAATTTAAGTTATAGTTGACTGCAGGCGAAATTAAAAGGTCAGTACAATGTTCATATAAACTTTTCAAATATTGGCGTTGAGAAACTATTTAAATTTTTTGTATTTTTGTATTGAGATAATAAAATAATTTTCACATTTAGTATTATTTTACAAGAAACGCACTTTATTTTAACGATTGTATGACATTTGACAACTGTCAACTAACTTAAAACTAACTTCAGCCCGTGACTAAAGCGCCGTAAAGCCACAACTTGTCAATGTGTATTTAAAAGGTCACTTAGTGTCATGGAAACATGTACGATAAAGGGCGTTTTAAAGGTGGGAGTAAAAAAAATACTTTAAAGAATATGGAATATAACCTAGAAACCATGCTAGAAACAGATGTTTGATTCTTCTTGACAAATCTGTCAACATCGTGACGTCATCGAAGCGTTTTAAATCTTGGGGTTTTCAAAACGCTGCAGCGTTCTTAAAAACTGTTTTAGAAACGTAGGGAAAAAATGCATTAATAAACTTATATGCGTAGACTCCCAAATTTTGGAAATTTGTATTTATGAAACTTTTTTCGTGAGTTTATGCCACAATTTTTTAATTTACAAATTCTGCGAATGTGTCTTACTATTTTTTAATTTTAAACAACTGTGCGAATTTGTCCACTATTTATGCTACTGTGCGAATTTTGTTGAAATATTCTTACACGACGCAGGAATATGCGAGCGCCGTTTCGGTTTCATCTTTTGTAACGCCAAGTTTTGGTTTACCCCTTCAAAAATATAATTTTATAAGTAGCTTAGACTATAAGAATAAGGTTTTTTTTACATTTAGAAGTAACAATTTCACATACCTAAATCTTCTAGTATCCACCACTCCATTAAAACTCCATTCAACAATGACTTCGTTGTGGTAAATAAATATTACAAAGTAATTATCCTTAAACTTTGCAAATAGCACAGTGCCCCATGATCGTGTTCTGTAAGTGAGCTCCAGTCTATCGAAAGTGACCGCCTTGCTGGAATTCGGCAATATCGTAAACCCATATTGTAGAGGATCGGATTTTCCATTAAACGTCGCGTTCGATATGCACTCGTAACCGTCTTCGAGATTGTTGCACACAGCGCCATCTGGACACCCTTCCAACTCGCAAAACTCCAACTCCTTGCAGTTTTTGCCCTTGAAACCAACGACGCACTGACACCTGTAGTCGTTCCAGGTGACCTCGCATTGGCCCGCGTGTTCGCATGGGTTCACCTTGCACAAATTGTCGGAATGTATGCCCTCCAGAACGGTCATTTTATCGAACGACACGTCTCCAAAGGAGGCGGGTATCCGGAGGTCGTCCGGTTTCAAAGGATAAAACTCCACCACCATCACAGTCGAACCGTTACTAATCTGTACGTCTTGAATGATTCCTTTGAAATTGACGCTATTCAATGATGCTGTCACTGCAGCGGGGCCAGTGGGGGCGGTCAAGTCAACCTTCGTGGTCACCATGTTGTTGTCCATTGCTTGACGGACGGACCTTTGCTGGGGCTGACCGCCTAAATAAAGTACCTGGGCATCCAGGGATCCTGCTCCTGATATCGTTTTTCTAAAATATTCCGTTCCGTTGAGTTTTACTTGTACCAAAGTTGCATTACGTATGACCTCAATAAGGTGATTGTAACCGTTATCTAGCTTTACACCACCTACTGCGTATGATTCAAGTGATCCATTGAAATAAATACTGACCAAGAGTTCACCACTTTCCAATTGCGCGGCTATATAAGTTTCGTCGACGGTTTGGATTGGCGAAAAATTCGATCCCAAATAGAAAATATGGCCCTTCGACTGGCGCGTTCTGATAAACATACTAATATCAACAATAGTGCGGACTGCTCTACGCGAGGAATCGTGTACGTCTACAGTCACCATTGAATTTGTAATGTTTTCGTAGCCGAAAGTGGCAGCTGTATAATCTAAAAAAATAAAATCGACAATAAATTAATTAGCGTATAAAAGTGTCGTGAAAAAAACCGGAAATATTTGGGGAAAAACTGATTTTTCCGTTGTTTTCCAGGCCTTGGAAAAATTAACTTTTTTTGGAAAATTTTGATTTTTTTGGGGAAATACATATACACATTTGAAAAAAAGTGGCAATCAACAACTTAACATTATTTAAATTTAAAAAAATATATCCTTACAGAAAAAAAAATAAAACTAAACATGTAACTTTAAATATACAGTTAGGTCTTTTTTGCAAAAAGGAGTCATTGAAAATATCCAATTACAATAAAGTTAAATTATAATTTTATAAATCGAAGTGTCAAATAAAACGAAAGTTATGTATTAACAGCACCGAATATGTTTTTTTGGGACCAGGTATAATATTCTTACTGAACTAAAATAAAAGGAATGTTTACACTATGATATGTAGTTCAAATTACTAAAATTGAGTACACCCACCTATATTACCTAATTTTGGGCTGCTGATTTTAAAAATGCCACTCGTTTTGCTCCAGGACGTCTAGGATTCGAATTGCGTAATAAAATGCACTGTCCATTTATCTTAAAATGTAAGTTTTTTCGTTAATATTTTGATTACTTATTAAATTATTTTGCCTTAAATCTATTTTGGATGTACCGAGTCCCTGTATATTTTTGACGTTTTTAGTCAACAATATACAGGGATTCTATATAAAGTCATCTATATACCGATGGTATATGTTAAATAGAAAATATTTATATTCTGAATTTTTTGTTCCATTATAGCAGTAGTAGTATTATATCCCTCATAGAAAATATTTAGACCAACGGAATGGCATTTTAAATACCAAAACTAAAATTCTATTGTATCTTTTTGTAAAAAGTATAATTTTTTGAATTTTTTGTGTCGTATTTTTAATTACTAAATTGAAAGGCACCAAAGTAAACGGGTTTCGTATATTTGTTTTTTAATCACATCATTTCTAAAGTACCTACCCAAAATTTCAATCCAACAAACTTAAATTTATTAAATCTTATCAAATCGCGCCGAAAATTGGCGCCTATTCATTCATTCAAACTCTCCGCGTTTCAAAGAATTGACGCTAATTTGTCGGACAGCAACATACTCAATCAGATGAACATGGAGAACGATTTCACCAACTGTAAATATAGAGCATTGGTATAGCAAAAAGCAGTTGTATTCATTGCTAGGAGACATTTTGCTGGAATATGCAGCAAAACACGTACGACGATGCGAATTATTAAGATCATTAATAGTATAATTTAATTTGATATACGATTTAATAAATTTAAGATTAAAAAACAGTAACAGTAGAACTTTCATGAAAATTCTACTGTTACTGTTTTTTAATCTTAAATTTATTAAATCAGTGATTGTCTTTAAATAAATATAATGTAATGCATTGAATTTTGTGGGCTTAGTGTGGATAAAAATATCAAATAATACTCGAATGTAATACCACCGAATATTTTTTGACTTTTCACGAAAACCACCAAGTTTGTTTCAAAAAATTTCCTGCTCAATCGAACCCCGAGTGGTATTTGTTGAGAAAATTCCACGAGTAAATAAATTAAGTCATTTTTGTGTCACTTTGTCTTTTTTATATACAATTATGCATCCGTTACTATGGAAAAGGTAAATTTTGGTCACTTGCATTTCTTTTTATCCGTCAGCAAACCGTATTTTTGACAGTTTTTAATTGGTTTTAATTGACGGAGTGGAATTATCAAAGCTACTTTGTTGCCTTTTTAATTTAATAATTAAAATAAACGGTAATAAAATCTCAAATAATGGTTGTTTTTTACATAAAAAACATAATAATTTTAGTTTTAGTATTTAAAATGCCATACCGCTAAGTTATATATTATCTATTTGACGTATACCAATTACTCCAGTACATTAGGGATAAATTTAAGGCAAAATAATTTAATAAATATTTAAAATATTAACAAAAAATCCTCCATTTTGAGGTGATTAAGCATTTTATAACGCAATTATTTTAAATCCTAGACGTCTTAGGGCAAAACGAGTGACATTTTTTAAATTAGCGGCCCAAAATTATTTAAACTTGGCCGGAGTACTAAATGTTAAGAAAAAACAAGTTTCTAAAACTATCACAGTGTTATTATGATTATATTCGAAAATTCACTTTTTTCTCGATATCAGTGTAAAAAATTTGGAAATTTTTAAAAATTGTCTATTGCATTTTTTTGTATTACCCTTTGAATAAAATGAAAAAAATACAAGTCAATTTTTCGCCGGCTCAATTTTTCCAGAAATTTTAAAACGCTAAAATTAATACATATTGAGAAAAAATACATACTGTATTGACAGGTGTGTCCCAAGTAGGGCCTCTCGCACGTGCAGCTGAAATCGCGCCATCTATCGGTACACTGACCACCCGACCGACATGGGTTTGGATCGCACTGCGGTTTCCTTGTACATCCGACTTCCACGTTGTAAAAGTTGTTGGATTCGGTGTCCTGTGGCAAGACCCATTCGCCATTGATCAAAACGTCTTCAGTGCAGCCAACCAAAAACGGTTGACCGTGCGTCAGCTTTCTAAGATTGCTCGGTATACCGCCAATGTAGGTCAGAGGAAAACTGGTTGACGACACGTTATAATTTTCGTTAAAAGATATTGGATAAATTGTTTGCTCGTCGTTTGCCGAAAGAACCAAATGAGTGGAGTTAATAGCGACGAAAACCTTCTGCCACTCGCTGTTATTCAAGTTGGATCCAATAAACACGCCTTCCCACTTATTTAACAAGCTTGAATGCAAGTTTAACTTTCCTTTGGACAGCTCCAGTATGTAGTAAGTCAAACCTTTGCCCAACGCTAATAAACCATCACCCAAGGTGGTTTTAAATCGGAATTGAATGTCATACCCTTCCTCCCTGGTTGTGTTCACCATGACCAGCGAATTCCCCGATAGCGACATGGTGGTCGGCTGTTCGCATTTGCTACCGTAGAAACCAGGTAAACAAGAACAATTATACTTGTGGTCGGTTTCGTTTACCAAGTAGGGCTTGCACTGCGCATCGTTCAAGCATGGCTTGTCTTTACATCCGACCAGTACGACGGAACAATTTTTGCCGCCGTAGAGCGGATCGCAATCGCAGTAATAATCGGCCTTTTTGTCGATGCAAGTGCCGTTCATGCACGGCTTTAATTCGCACTCGTCAATATCGACGTCGCATCGTTCGCCTTCGAACCCTTCCTCGCACTCGCATTCAAAATAGCCGATGTAATCTTTGCACTGGCCTCGGAAACATGGATTGCTCTGACATTCGTCAATATTTATCTGACAATTTTCACCAGCCACGCCATCAACGCATTTACACACATATCCAGCCGCATCCAAGTAGGAAAATGTCTTATTAAACAACTCAGGTAATCCAGTCAAGTACAACTCAGCAGATGTGGGTAAATATAAAGTTTGATTGGACTTTTCCAAACAAACGCCATTGTTTTTGCATGGATTCACTTCGCATTCGTTTATATCGATTTCGCAATTTTTACCTAGGAGTACACAAGATAATAAATAAAATACAGCAGAAAAATATTTCACTAACCTCTATAGCCATTGTAACATTTACATTCGTAATCTTTAACTTGATCTACGCACAATGCTCCATTTTGACATGGATTACTTAAACACTCATCAATGTTTATATCACAATGATGACCTTCGTATCCAGTACTGCTGCAGTTACAAGTGTAATCGTTCAAACCATCTATACAGATGGCTCCATGCAAACATGGAGATGACTGTAACCAAATAAATAATTATAAATAAATTATTAAAGGTGTTACAATGGTTTCTTTGATCTTTCTTTAAAAATTATTAAAAATTCAAAAGATTGACCAAGTTACACCGAAAACTCGGCAGGGAGGCTGAGCGCGAGGAGTTGATGAGGATGTTGATAAGGATAAAACCTTAGCATCCAAATAAGCCATTCACTGTAGATAAAGACCAGTTTTATCTACTTTGACGAGTTTTTTGTTTTCTTTTGGCTTCAAATGAACTCAACCGCTTTTTGAAGACACGTTCGCGAAGATCGAAATTAATTATTCGTATTTTTTCCACAAATGAATAAATTATTATATTGCTAAAGAGACAATTGGACATAATGCAAATTTTATTTTTTTCTTTTTTTCTTTTATAAAATACAAAATAAAAATAATTATCATCGAGTCAAACCACGTCAAATGTTTTTTGAAAGTAATGATAATTAATTACAATTATAAACATCTGTAGATAATAACTAAACAATAAAACACTTTATCTACTCCTATTGCATAATTTTGGTGTTTTTCCGTGAATATTGTTAAGCATTATAAATTTCCTGCCTAACAACGTGAATAATAAACTCAGTATTCACGTTGTTAGGCATCAGTTATTGGCCGATTTCAGTATTCACTGTGATTTGAACCAATCGGGTTTTAAATTGGAAGAAGGCGACTATAATAACATTTAAAATTGGTAAAAAGTAAGGTTAACCATTTGACATATGTCAGATTTTATTTATTTAATTTTGAAAATCATTTAATTATCTACTTTTTGGAGTATTGGCAATATTCACTCGGATGATTTAGGTCTCTCGTCTGGCGACTCGAGACGTAAACCTCATCCTCGTGAATATTAGCCTGCATTATCTCTCGTATAATAATATACTATTACCGAAATTCGAAATTCCGCACCATTTTTATTATTTTTAGTATCTAAAAAGTTTACAACATTTAAAAGAAAAATAATTTAATCAATTATTGTTAACAACAACTCGTTTGCAACAGTTAGATGAAATTTTTTTGACAGTTGACAAATGTTGTCTCGTTACGATGAATATTTTTGTCAAATATTATTTGCAAAAAAATTTTTTATAACAATTAATTAAAAAATTTAAATTAATTATACACATTTGACGTGCTTTGACTCATTGCATTTTTGATCAGACATCATGGCATAAGTAGTAGTAGTAGTAGGAAAACACTGTTTAGTCCAATTGAATAATACAAATTGTTGAACTTATTTTGCATGTCTTCTGCTTATGGCTACCTATGTATAGTTTTGATGCATAGTATGTACTATGCTTCACATCAAAAAGTCCCACTGTGGCATATGAGGGGTTTAGTCACAAAAGTCACATTCTCCACTTTTTGTGAAAAAATTGTTAGAGGTGCCATATTGTAGTAAAAGTTGAAAGCTATATATTGCCAAAGTCAAATTTCACAATAACTCATATAAAATCAAGTCGACATATTCGCGATTCGAATCAAAACTCACATTATCCAGTCAGCTGCGCACGGTTACCCACAAAATTTACATTCATTTACATACAATTTTTATGGTAAATTTTAGTGCTTTCCCAGGAAATTATGTAATGGCTTATTGCATAGTTTCATGGCTTATTAATGGCCAAAGCTTTCCTTATACAGGAATGATTTAATAAAAGTATTAATTTTGATAAAATGGCCCTTTTCAGGCTAATATTTGTATATTTTACCATAAAAGAACTACAAATATATAACTGTATATGTAGCAATTTCCAGTATCAAGTTAATAAAAGTTTAAAAAACCATTGAAGTGCCAAATGTTTTCTGTATATATAATTTACATGAACCTTTAATTATACTTTGGTTAAGCGATATTTTAAAAATGACGCCCAGTGTAATTCCTAAAGTTTTAATAGTGTGTTATACCACATAAAAAAATAATAATAATACCTAATAGTTGTTAAATTTAAATGAGTAAGTAGGTACTTGAATGCATTTTTAATTTTAAAATTTTAGAACTCTTATTACAGACAAAATACCGCCAAAGAATTTAGTAGAAAGGTTTAATTAATAAAGGTCAACGTTGGGGAATTTACGAAAAAAAATTAATAATAGCAAAGCAAACCTGGTTTTCTTTGTTATAGAGGATAATCTACCAAAAAAATCATATTTGTATATTTTAATTTTAAATATTTTCTATTGAGTTTAAGGATTTTTTTATTTATTTAAATATTATGGATTCCATTCCATAATTTTTATGGTTTACTTATACTTTATTTTACAACACATTGCTTTGTATTTTTTCTTGTAAATTTATAATGTTTTAATATTTCATTTCACGATAATATATTAATTAGGTAATTTAATGTATAAGTAAAGTATATGAACCTACACCTCGCCAAAGTTTTTTGTTTTAAGTGTGTTCCACCAACTTCAAATACCGACAGACAGCTGTTTCGACCTATATTGGGCTGGATGCTCCTTTGGACGAGTTTTGGTTCGTGCCGCGCATGAGGACACTCGATGAGTAGTTGCCGCGCGAATACACGAATAATAGTAATATTATCAAAGAAAATAGAGAAATATCTGGACATAGTGCGTTTTTATTAAACTTGATATTGAAGAAAGTGTTATAATATGGATGATAGATGCTTTCAGTCCACGATAAAATTTAGGGCTGTAGTTTAAGAGTTGGAGACTGCACACGGCAAATTGTATCACAGGCCTAAAGGAACCTAGAATTAGCCCAACCAGGCTAAACATTAAGGTAAACATTCCATTTTCTTAGTTGCTTTAAGAAACATACTGGTAATATTCATATGAATTCTTATGAATATTACCATTAATGGGTCAAGAAAGTTTCTTAAAGAAATTAAGAAAATTGAATGTTTACAGTAAAGTATTTATTATGGTGGATTAAATATGGTTTGTTTATATTTATTGGGTTGGATATTCCACGATTATCGGAAATTTTTATCCCGACCGTCAGAATTTGAATTGTGACGGTAGGGATAACAATTTCTGATTATCGTGGAATATCCTTATCTAATAAATATATACCTACCACATTTTATCCAACATAATAAATACTTCACTTATCCATTCAAAATTATTTAAATAACCACTATAGAACCCCATATCAGAAACATCAGCTTGCTACATTAGTACCTTTAATCTGCCATATCAGAACCTTTAGCGCTCGGTATAAAAAATGGAATGGTTCTTGTAAGTGCCTTTATTGACTGCCGTTACATGCCCATTAAAGGTGAACGCGACATAATATGTACAGTTCCATTAGAGTTAGTTAACTTCATTAAAGGCGCGTTTATAAAGGGCCATTATAGAACCTTTACGGTTGTGTTTGCTGGGTTTTCGCAATTTAACATTCTCCTTGAAATATTTATAAATGTTTTTGTTATTGCTTTTAGTTGATTGGAGAATCTTGAAGAAACAGCCTTTTATTTAAAATTTAACAGATTTGTGTTTTAAAACTAACATATTCTCCATATAAAAATATGAACTTTTGAAAAAAACTTATACCAATTCATGCCTTTTTCAGAATTAATTAACAAAATATGCAATTTTTTCTGTAACATTCACAGAAATAATTCTAGAGGTTTTAGCCAATTTCCCAAAATTAAGGTGAGTGGGAGAATGTGACTTTTGTAACTACACTCCTCATATGTCACAAGTATTTGAATACAAATAATTGAGGTTATCTATCTGTCAGTTTAACGCTTATTATCTGAAGATACTACAGCATATGTATTTTAATTTAGAAGAGAAAATATACATACATATATTTAATTATTTTCAGAAAATAAACTGGCGTTAAACTTACTAATCGATAATCTCAATTATTTGTATTCAAATGTAAAGGTTGGAGTTTTGGGTGTGGGGCATAGGATAGATGAATTATATCTGATCTCTATGAAACTTTATATTAATAATAATAATGTCATTTGCCTTTTACAATATTATAATCAACATACCTCACAATCGTCGATATTGGTCTGGCACAACTTTCCAGTCAAACCTTGCTGACAAACACACGTAAAATCATTGACGCCATCAATGCAGGTGGCTCCGTTTTTGCAAGGGTTAGGTTCGCACTCGTCTATGTTAGTCGAGCAATCTTTTCCCTTGTATCCCGGTGGGCATTTGCATTCGTAATTGTTGATCTTATTAAGGCACGTCGCGTTATTCTGACACGGCATCGACAGGCACTCGTCGAAATCCAACTCGCATCTTTCGCCGGTGAAACCAGGCATGCAGTAGCACTGAAAACTGCCCACGTTGTTCACGCATATGCCTTGATTGCATATTTTTTCAGTCGTCTGGCATTCGTCTATGTCAGTTTTACAGTTGCGACCTTTGTATCCTGGCGCACATATGCAAGTGTATTCGTGAGTTTCCTCGTTCACATTGCACGTGGCTGAATTGGAACACGGGTTGCTTAAGCAAGGATTCGATATAATTGTGCAATCGTCGCCGGTGTATCCGGTCGGACATTTACACTCGTGGTCGTTTATCAAATCGACGCAGACTTTACCGGGCCCGCATTTAGCGCCTACGCAGTCGTCTATGTTGATTTCACATTGGTTACCTAAAATTTAAAGAAATTTAAATGACACCTAATATCGGTAATATATGCCCACAGAAATCGAACCCCCAAAGGGTTTTCGCTAGCTTAGCTTAATAAGCTAGTTATAACTAATTTTTATAATAATTAGTTATACTATAGTATCCCTGCTTAAAATACCCCATAGAGACCCTGTTCAAACCGATAGATATTTGTATCGGAATGTTCTATAGGGTGTATCGGTATGTATAGGACACATAGTTGGGATTTATGGTTGTTCTATAGGGATATCCCTTGATTTATTTGCTATTGGTTTTAATGGGGAAAATACACATAAATGTAGAAATTAGTTTTTCCCCCATAGAAACCCATAGGTTTTAATAAAATTTTGTCAAATGTTTTATGGTTGTTCTATAGGGATATCCTTATATATCCTTCATTGAGTTATTTGCTATCGGTCTCAATAGGGAAAATGTAAAAGTTATGGTGTGCCTATAGGTAATTTCCTATAAACTTTCTATCGGGCCGTATCCGAAAAAAAAACATGGGCAAATGCACATATTGAATCCGGTAGCGCACGATAGATTATTTTATATAGGTCTCTATGCCATAGAGTCTATGGGGTATTTTAAGCAGGGATATTAATTTTACCAATTCCCTAGAACACAACAAATGCACGCGAAGAGCACGTGGATAATACACGTGATAGCCACTTTCTCGGTACGCTATTGGTCAATCTGCGATAAAAGGCGTGGCTTCGAAAGTTTTATTGCCGATTGACCAATAGCGTACCGAACACGTGGAGATTACGGGCTAATGTTTGTTTATGCTAAGAAATTGGTAAAATGAATATACTCCTCATTGCATCAAAAATCTTAAAATACAAAAAAACTTTTAATCTCGACCCTCGCCTCGAAATCAGCTTACTTGAGCTAAGCTAGCAAAACCCATTGAGGATTAATTTTTGTAGGCTTATATTGGCAATTTTGGGTGTCAAATTTTTGGTTATTTAAGGTCTACATTTGAAGAGTTTCCGTAAAATGTCTTTAATATATGATTTTGTGATGCATCAGACACATTGACAAATAATTTTAGATTTTTTTAAAGCAGTTTACAGTTTGAAAACGAATTTTTAAAATAATTTATGGGAAATCTGTAGGAAAAAACACTTCTGCAGAAGATTATTTCAAAAATTTGTTTTTTAACTCGAGCAACCAGTGGATCATTTTGATGGCTTAAAAATTGATTATTACAGTATATTTTTTATGGAAATTAAAAAATACTTTTTTTTTTAACTTTTTAAAATTTTCATTTCAAATTTTGTACTGCCAACTTAAGGGACACAAAAATATGACAGGTATAAACCTCTATTTTGCCACTATAACAAAATTAAAAATTTATACTGTTACTTATTTACTTCTTATATTGTTTTTAGTTTTTAATGATTCTTAAATTTTTCAAAAAGTATTAATTTGTTAATTAAAATACAACGTTTATTTTTACTTCATTGGCACCGCTGAATTTGCTGTTAGTGCCTACTGTTACTGTAACTCTTTAAATGGAGATACTACCTTAAGATGTTTATGGGGCGCCGTTTTATTTTTTAATCAGAAATTAATTTTATGTGTTAACCCTAGAGTGATATTTACAATTAGATAAAAAATATCACATTGTTAAACACACATTTTTAATTCGCTAAATTAAAAATTAGATTTAATTTTTATGCCAAACTGATATTTTATATTTATTTAATTTAAAATATTTTCTTCTTTTATTTGAATTTTTTTGCTAAACACATATATGCATATTTTTAATTCGCTAAATTAAAAAAATATCATAGGAAACATTTTTAAATGTATTAAAAATATCAAAGGAGATATTTTTAATTAAATGTGATATTTTTAATTCCGACTGTTTGAGAGTTTGAATACTCCGCCAGGACTGTTATTCCAAACGCCACAAAAACCGACCCACTCCAACAACAAACTAACGTTGCGTGAGTCACTCACGTACAACGCGTCGTCTAGCGACAGAATTAGTTTGGAATACCAGGGGTGTCCAAACTTTTAATCTGAATTAAAAATAGCACACTAAATATTTAATAAAATAAAAATTAAATCTAATTTTTAATTAAGCGAATTAAAAATATATGTTTAACTAAAAAATACAAATATAAGAAACAGATATATTAAATTCACTAAATTAAAAATATCAGTTTGGCATAAAAATTAAATTAAATTTTTAAATATCCACTATGATACCTACCTATTTTTAATTCGAAGAATAAAAATTCTTGTATGATATTTTTTATCTAATTGAAAATATCACTTTAGTGTTAAGACAATAATTCCTGAATAATAAATAAAATGGCGCCCCATAGATGTTAAAACAAATGCTATAATATATTACTTCATTTGAAGCATCATTTGGACCCAGTTCTGCAGCGACCAACCCACAAATTTGCATAGAACAAACAGGTTAGGTTTATCTATTTTTGGATTGGATGAATTTTGCAAAACTGGATCAATTAATAACTATGTAAAATTTACGAATGTTTTTTTCAGAAGTTTTATTGTTACAATTCTTAGTATTATATGATGTTTTTTAATTTTGCGAGTTTCTTTTATTTAAATAAGACACCATTAATAGTGCATAATTATGAATGAAATTTTTTTTTACTTTTTTTTAAATAGTAAAAAAATGTTTCGTGCAAATAGTATTTTACAATTTTTTTATATATCTAAGACTAGAATTTTTTATAATTTTACTAGTTCATAGTTTATAGTTTAAGATTTTACAAGATTTTAAAATTTTTTATTTCATAATTTTATTAAATTTAAAAAAAACTTCTGTTTTTGCCTTTAGAAATTTCAAAAATTGTATAAGATTGGTCCAGGTATTAAATATTTTTTTATAATTATCCGATTATGATTTTTATAATTATCCGATTATGATTTTAGTACAGTGAAAGCTCTAATAAGCGGAGGAGCCCGCATATATAAAGTTAAATAATTACAATGGGAAATATTTTTAAATAAAAACCGATTTTATAATAACACATACCCATACACATATAGAGTTTAATTTATTATAAAGAGTACAGTGACGTCATCACTTGAGCAGACATGATCGTCTCTCTCTCTCTCTTTTTTTTCTTTCTTACGCCTCGACAATTCGTTTTACCAGTGCCCAGCAAACACATAAGTCTGATTATGTTATGGCCCATTACATAGTATCTTGGCTTAATAATGGCATTTTTAGCCAAAGCTTTCCTTGTACTGGGCCTTTACATGAATGTTTTAATAAAAATATTAATTTTGATAAAAGGATGTCATGGCCTATTACATAGTATCATGGCTTAATAATGGCATTTTTAGCCAAAGCTTTCCTTGTACTGGGCATTTACATGAATGTTTTAATAAAAATATTAATTTTGATAAAAGGATGTCATGATAAGGTCTTGCATGGCCCTTTTCATGCTAATATTTTACCCATATATGGCAATTTCCAGTATCAGGTTAATGGGTTAAGTGCCAAATGTTTTCTGTATATAAAACTCTCATAAACCTTTAATTATCCTTGGGTTAGAGCCATATTTTAAAAATGACGCCCAGTGTAATTATTATAGTTTTAATAGTGTTGGGGCAATTGCGAATAAAATAAATTAAAAATGAAAGAAAACTTGGTTTTCTTTGTTATAAAGGACAATCTGACAAAAAAATCAATTGAACTTATTTTTAAATATTTAAATTTTAAATACTTTCTATTTAGTTTAGGGATTTTTTTATTTATTTAAATATTATGGATTCCATTTATTTATTACCTAATAAACAGTTTTTAAAATGAAATTTTTATGTTTTACTTATACAGGTCTTTACTACAACACATTGCATTGTCTTGTAAATTTATGAATATTTTAGTATTACATTTCACAATAATATATTAATGTAATGGATAATATATTAATGTAATGGATAATATAATTAATGTAATGGATAATATATTAATGTAATGGATAAGTTAAGTATTTATAATGGTGGATCAAATGTGGGTTGTTTTTATTTATTGGGTATTTATATATTTCACGATAATCGACATTTTTTATCCCGACCATCAGAAATTGTATTGTGACGGTAGGGATAACAATTTCTGATTATCGTGGAATATCCTTATATAATAAATATATCCCCACCACATTTAATCCACCATAATATATCCATTAAAAATTATTTTTTAGAAACTTTAGCTTGCCACATTTGTACCTTTAATCTGCCATAGCAGAACCTTTAGCACGTCATATCAAAAAATGGAATGGTTCTTTTAAGTGCCTTTATTGACTGCCGTTACATGCCCCTTAAAGGTGAACGCGACATAACATAACCTAGCCCTAGGTTCATTAAAGGCATGTTTATAAAGGGCCATTATAGAAATTTTTCGGTTGTGTTTGCTGGGTGGCGGCCTTAACAGAAATCGTTTATTTGCGCAGCTTACGACACTGTACTCTTTACTAATAAATTGAACTCAATATAATATATTATGTACACACACATTTTCTGTTTAAAAAGTATAGTAACAACAATATAGAAAAAGCCGCGAAATGTTATGTAAATAAACAATCAAAAGGCACCGATGCACTCAATCGAGGATTTCCGTAGGCGTGGCCACGAGCCATTAGGACCGCGCTGTCCTCTTGCTAAGGTGTCGTAACGGGTCCAAGCTTGTTTTGTTTTACTTGGTTTTATATCTATAATTGAAGACAAATACTGAAGTAATAAAATACCGCAACTATCGTCAGAAGCGAGTGTTTATGTTATTTTTGTCCGATCTTAAGAGCGTTTTAGGCCTGACGGTGACAGTTATGCTGTTTGAGTACGTCCTAAGGAGCGTTTGCTTATGAAAGCCTATTTTATAAAAGCTTATACCACAAAATTTTTTTTCTAAAAAAGTTGTCCGTTTATCGGAGCTGTCGGCAAATGAAGCTTTCACTGTATATGATTTGTTTACTTTTATAATTTTATTTTAATTCATATTCATTTAATTAATTTTATTTTTGTATACTTTAATAGGATTTTTTTACAGGTTCGAAGATCTAATCACCTTCAAATCCTGAAAGACATTCACATAAAAAGTCGTGAATGCTTTCTCCGATGGTACAAGTACTGTTATTTCTGCATGGCTTAAGTTTGCACGCATCGTATGCAATTTCGCACATGTCACCCATCCATTCGTCCGTGCAATTGCACTCAAAACCATTCGCCAAGTCAGTGCAAGCTCCTCCGTTTTGACACGGCATCGATCCGCACTCGTCCACATTAATTTGACAAACTTTACCTACAAATATTAGGAACATTTTACTGAAGGCCGATATTAAATAATTAACAGAACTATTATGACAGGATGTATTAAATAAACGAACACAAACTAAGTAAGTAGTACCCAATTAGTAGTCAATCTGTAAAAAAAATACTGTTTTCGGGAAAAAAATTCCATGGTCGATTTTTTGCATAATTCCTTTGGAACTTAAGAAAAGCTTAACCCCAACTTTGCGGGATCCTACCCCTGCGGATTGAGGTGAAAACTCAATGTTTTGTTTTTATTATTTTATTTTTTCAAAAACGTTTAAAACAATTTTTTTTTCAGTTTTAGAAGACATTTTTGTGAACAAAAAATATAGTGAGCATTGTTCCCTACAGTTAATGGGTCATTTCTTTAGGACGAAAAATTTAAAAAGCAGGGGCGCTTTACCCAAAAAAGCGGTTTATCACTTTTGGACCCCAAAATTTTGTTTAACGCGGCTCTGCAATTAAAAAGGTATTTATGTAAAAAAACTACAAAATTGATATGAACTTTTTTCCCTACGATAGACCGGGTTTTTAGTGAAAAGATTTTGGGTTTTATTTTAATTAAAAACGTTCTAGGAACAAAAAAATTAAGTGGTATTTCCCCTACAATAAATTATTTATGTCAGCGTTTTATCGCTTTTTGACCCAAAAATTATTTTTAACGCAGAACTGTAATTGAAAAAGTTGTTTATCCCAAAAACATACACTTTTTTCTACAATAGACCGTTTAGGAGGTATATTGTGCAGATTTTTGAGTACTGTAAAGATTGGACAAAGCTTAAGTAAGAAACAGTCTTTTGAAGGAAAATATTAATATAAATTATGTGGGTTTTTTCAAGACAAACAAATTTCTCAATTAAAGTACTGGATCATTTTTTTTAAGTTAAGTAGCCCTACCTACTTTTTGAATTTTTTCGTCCTAGACTCTAGGACCTAGAGCATCGAGCCAATAACATAAATTTTATATAAAGGACTTTTCGTTAAAAAAAAATAAAAAAATGAGTTTTCACATTAATCTGCCACCTTAAGGATCCCGCAAGTTTTGAGCTCAAAACTATTTATGCCAAAAAATTACTATGGTCAATTATTGGCAAAAATGTTTACACATTGACTCCACTAAATTGTTAAAAGGAAATTAAGATTTAGTAGTGTTAATGAAATAAAGCAGATTATAGTAATAAGTTATTATACAGAGTGGTCACTTTTTCTCTATACTATATTTAACATTAATATCACAAGAGAGTGAAAATAAATTAAAAACAATGTCTGGAAATATTGCCAAATGACAACAAGTTTAAGAAATATTCTGGATAATTATTTTATAATTTATTAAACTCTCAAGTGGTATTATTTTTTGACGTTTATTATGGAATTTTGTTAGGTTTTATTATTATTTTATTTTCGCGAAAATAATGTATAGTAGGTATTCTCATAATGTTTTGATTGATTAAAACAGAAACGTCAAAAAATAATTATTGAAGCAAAAAATTCATCAAAACAATTTTACCTACTCCTACTTTGACGAGCTGTGACTTTAAGGCGTTTTAGTTACAGGCTGAAGTAAGAAACAGCCTTTTTAAGGCCTATTCATGCTCACTAAAATAAGAATAAGAAATAAGATAAAAAGTTGAAACTGTGTAAAGTAATGGTGGCGTTCATGTTCATGAAAATAAGAAATACTTATTAAGAAATAAGACTAAAGATAAATAATTTTTAACTCAGGTTCTTATTTTTGCGTAAAAAACTGCGTAGAAGGACAAAATATGTCTGTGAATTGGTTTTATGTGTTGGCCATGGAGCGATCGCGTATTTTTATCAATAACAACTAAAATACAGATAACCATGTACACTCACCGCTGTCATTACATCCAAAGAACATTTTGATTAGGTACACCTGTAACTTAATGGTGACATTATCTTCAGTGAGCATGAATACGCCTTTAGTCACGGGCTGAAGTTAGCTTTATTATAAATTGGGAAAAAGTGAGGTTATATTTCATTTACATAAAACTTAAAATATGACGCAAATATATAATCAAAAAGTAGATATACATTTACGAAAAGATTAGTTTTTTTCTTGAATTGAACTTGATTGTAGAGCCTGATATAAAATATTTGCTCTATAACTTTTTTTGTTAAAGCAAAAATTAAATATTTAAAAATATTATATCTACGCTATTAATTTACTAAATAAGCATAAAAGCCAAGCTGTTTTTAATGGGTTATTTAAAAACTATACAACTTTCACAAATATACAACTTTTACAAAAGTCCCTTGTATTTTTTTTATTGGGAGAGCCTATAGCAGGGACCCTGTATTGTTTTTGAAGTACCATATATTTTTAAGGAATAAAATATAAAGGTGTATGTATACTAATGCTCAGCAATACTTTTCGAAAAGTTGAACCAAAATTTCACAGAAATTTAAATTAACACAAAAGTTTTGTGACGAACCGGAATATTCTACTTACTTATATTATAATGTGTTTTTTTTTTAATGAACATATAATAAATACAAAGGAAGGATTTATCCTCTTCTTTTGACATTGTGTGACATTTCTTAGGTCACGGCTCCCCCAACATAAATTTATATACAGGACTCTTTAAGCCTTTAAGCTAAAATCAATGTTAAATCGGGTAACAGCCTAGCCTAACGACAACACGTTTGTACCTTCATACCCAGATGTACAGTGGCACTCGTTATACAAGCAGGTGCCGCCATTGAGGCAAGAATCGCTCGTACAGACCATCAATTCTACGTCGCAATTGAGGCCGGTCCAGCCTGGTTCGCAGGTGCAGTAGTAACCACCCGGCTGTTAAAATAATATACTCATGTGTTCAGTGTGCACAAAATAAACAGCAAAGTTCACACGAACTTGGCTTTACATCGACATGCGCAGACAGTGCTTGTGACTGTGTGTTGACTGGCAAACACGCTTGAGGATCCGTTTTATTCGTTGAATCTTTGTAATAAAGTAAATATTTTTTACAAAACTGATTTTATTAATAGATGCGCGTTACAATTTTGAAAATGATTGTAGCCAATATTTACAAAGTATGATTTCTTGTTGGTATTTTATTAAATTATTAAATCATATCAAGCTACGTTTGAGTCAAACACACTCCGCACTAGGTACTCACGTAATCTTCACATGCAATAGAGTGCAAACACAAGTTAGCTTCACATTTAACGCTTTTTTCGCATTTGTCGCCCGTCCACCCGACTGGACAAGTGCTGCCGCGGAGAAGCCGAAGACGACTGTCTGAAGGGACGTCGCTTGTAGAACGACGCGCTTCAGCCAGTTCGCATGCAGGGCCTTTAATGCGTGACAAACAAACAGCCAAAGCCATAACAAGTTAGTTAGTTTCAATTCTTAATACACAGATATTTATTTAAATTTATATTATATTATATGTTTATTTCTGCTTTAATTTACGCATTCTTAAAAAAAGAGCAATACAATTTTTTGAAACAAATAATTTAAAAAAACTATAAATTTAAAAGAAATTAGTACATTATAGACCAGGCGAAGAAACATCATATTATAGCCAGGAATTAATATAAATTCTTTCTATATAGACTTATGAATGTTATTATATGAAAATTATTGTAGGCTTAAAAAAAATTGTTTTTTTCGTTATTGGGTCAAGACATATCTTTGTGTGCTGAGCTCAAAGTTTAATTAAGCAAAGCACAAAAAGACATTTCTTGACCAAATGAAATACAGAATTTAATCTTCAAGACACATTTTTATTTACTTGAAAAGTACACTTCGTTTCTGAGGATGCCAACATCGTTGGCGAAAAGTACTTTAAGCACTTTGTGTTTTGTTTCGGTGGGGAATATTTCTAATATTTGTTTAACAGTTTTATTTATAACCGATACATAAAATGTATAATTATTAATAGTAGAAAATTAGGTTAGATCAATCCTACAGAAATCGATTTTTTTATTAGTCAATGTAGTAATGAATTTTACTGATTGGTCTAAATCATTTTTAGGTGTTTGACCATAATCAATCACTTTAGTAACGAGGGTTGACAACTATAAAGTTAAAAATATAAATCAATTGAAGATACAATTAATTATAATAATTTTTTTTCAACAATTTAAAAAAAAAGTTGAAATTAGTTAACAAAGTTTGGCTGATTTAAAGTTTATATTTTTTACTCAAACTGTCATTAAATAAATGCTTTATATGACTTGAAAACTACTCTGCATAAGAAAAAGAAAATACGAAATATGTTCCATATAAATTAATGTAATGTAATCTTTTAAATAGTTTTAATAGTTTCATAAAATTGTTATAAAAATTAAAAGCAAAGTCATTAAAAATATTGTTTTTCTATTTGCAAATCATTAAACAATTCTTTTGACATGTATTAGCTAATACAGACCGGTTTAGTTTACGCGGTTGACTCCTATTATGTTGCTACTTATTAGTTATTTGTTACTACTAAAGTTTAGTTCATGGAATAAATAGTTTAATTACAAAACACCTTTTCAGGATTGACAGAAATCCAAATGCCTTAAATAGGAAAATTAAATTCAAAATATAGAAATTTAACAAAATGTATAGAATAATCCACTATATCATTGAATAATTAGGTGCCATTTTTACCAATTTATTAACAATAAACACATACTATTAGATAATAATTAACATTATACGTTTTAGGGGGTTCTTTAATTGTAAAAAAACTACCAATTATTCTTTCAATAAGTAGTTTTCGAGTTATTAAGCATTTAAGTTTATTAAAACTAGAAACCATTCGAACGTCAGGACGACCCCCAAAAAAATGCAGAATATATCCCAAAATCGCAATAAGAATTATATATAATTCGATATCATTCTCAAAATGTTGGCAAATAGAAAAACTAGTATAAATTTATGACCTTAGTTCTTTAATACACCATTTTGATTTATCCTGTATATAAAAATCTGATAAATAAATTGTTACATAAAGCATTCCACCTAATTATTACACTTTTTTCGATTTTTTTTATAAATATCATTTTCCCATAATTGTAATCTCCTAAAACTATCGTTTTCCAGGCGTTGGTATTTCGAAATTATTTCACACCTGTATATTTTTAATTGTAGAATGATTTTCATTTCAATTATCCTACAATTACAAATACTCAAACATTTTTTTTTACTATATTAAAGGTTAAATTTTAAATTTCACTATCTTTTTATTCGGATAGAGGTACAGAATTACTAAATAAAAAACGTTTGCTGCTGACCAGTTTGCATAATATAAAAGTAAAGTTCCAAAAGCTCAAATCACCCAAAGAAAACACCATAAAAAGTTAGAAAGCCATTCCCAAATCCATAAAAACTAAAAGATAAAACGTACCTGCAAACCCTGGCTGGCAGGTGCAATTAAATATGCCCAAGTGCGAGGTGCACACGCCTCCATTCTTGCAAGGATTGTTCGCGCAAACCAAGTCCGCCCCGCAGTTGGGGAATTCCCCGGGACTGTCGGCTTTACAGCGGCACGCGAACGTTTTGCCGACGGGTGCGCAGTCGGCGTACGGCGGACAGGTGGTCGAGTCGCACATGCCCAATGCGTGCTGCTCGATCTCGCAGCGGTCGCCCACGAAGCCTGGCGCGCATTTGCATTTGAAGCCGCCTTTGAGGTCCATGCATTCGCCATTGTTGAGGCAGGGGTGCGCTTCACATTCGTTGATGTCCTTAAATGTGACAAGAATAATGAAAATAATGGGCAAAAATAAAATAAAACGGCCATAAGCACATTTTTTTAAATTTTAATTGGGATTTGTTATAATCGAGGTTATAATCATTTTTTAAGTTATTTGACTTTTCTACCAATACCCCGGGATTCGTTTTTTGTACCTACATTAAATAATAAAAAAAAATTATTTGTATATTATCGATGTTTCGTTGTTTTAATAGTAAAAGGTATACCTTATAATTAAACTGAGTTTTGCTGGATTTTAAACAATTCATTTATGTCCACAAACCGTTTTAGTCAATGACCAAGTAGATTAAATGTTGAGTCATATAGCAACGCTGTATGAAAAAACAATAGTATAAATTCCATTCGTTTTGTGCTTATTTATGTTATATTAAAAATTCCTTATCAACTTTTGAGCAGTTTATATTGTCCTAGTAAAAGCCAAAGGAGTTAAGCCACAAAACTATAATCTCGTAAGAAAAACACGCACAAAGATTTTCTGTGACAAAAAAATAGCATTTTTGGTTGAAACAAACAAGTTACAACCAAAAATAATACTTTTTTGTGCCAGATCCGAGGATTTATAGAATTGTGGGTTGACTCCCTTGACTTTTACTATGACGAAAAATAAATTACGAATGTTTGCATTCGCATATGCCAATGATTCGCATCATTTTAAACATTCGCATTACCACTTGCATTCGCATCCAGGCATGCGAATGTTTTGCGAATACGACTGTTGTGCTATTTTAAGTAATAAAAATAATGACTAAAGTTGACTAAACCTATCCTAAATATTTTTTAAGGCCTTTTCTGAACATTCGCACTTTCGCATTCCAAATATTCGCAAATGTCAAAAATATGACATTCGTAACATCCGGATGCATCCCTGATATGAATGGCGAGTCGTTATACGTTTGAAAAATGCAATTACTTTTTGAAATGTCAAGTAAAAGTGACGTTTTTTCATTTAATTTTTAATAAAAAAGCAAACCTGCGAAGTTGAATATTTTCCTTGAGTTGTTTTGATTAATTAATATTTATTTGTTCAAAAAAAAAAATTGCAATACATACAATATAGAACACGTCAAAAACTATAAACAACAAAACTATAAACATCAAAAACTCTTAACTAAAAAAATCATTAAGACAGTAATCACATCTGCTTACAAGATAGGCTCTTAAGCAACGTTTAAATTCCTTCAAAGTTAGATCTTTTATTGTTGATGATAATTTATTATATAAAATCAAGGCAAAATTTTGAACACCCTTGTAAAAAGTGTGGATCCTGGTTTGATTAATTAACGCCAAATCTTTGTTTCTAGTAGAGTATGAATGTTCTATACTAGTGTTATCAAAAAGAAAACAATTTTTTTTGTAGAACATTAGCGTTTCAAATATATAAATATCTGGTAAAGTAAGTAAATTATTTTTTATAAATGTTTGTTTACATGATTCGCCAAATTCCAAATTAAAAATACACCTCAAAATTCTTTTTTGAAAAACAAATAAATCCTTTGTATGAGATGAATTGCCCCAAAAAATTATGCCATACTTTAAATTGGAATAGACAAAGGCATAATATACATTTAATAGTACCGCTCTTGGAACGACAAACTTTAAATTTAGTAATAGGTTAATTCTTTTTAACAAACTATCTGTTTGATCTTTCCATAAAAATTTATTGTCCAAGATAACACCTAAGAATTTAACTGACTTACTTAATTCAACTGTGTATTTATTATTAATATTAATTGTATTTTCGGTAAACCCATACTCTCCGAATTTTATATACTGTGTATGAGTAACAAATAAAACTATTAATTTAAACGATAATTAACCTTAAAAATATAATTTATTAATAATAGTTAAATGACAAACTAGACAATAGTTTTTTTTTTTTTAATTTTTATGCATTCTAAATTTGTTTGCAATATCTGTTATTTTTGTCTTTTAATACTTTGAATTCAATTATTACCAACAAATTAAAATAACAGTACCTAAGTAAATATCAAGTAATTATATTAATTTGAAATGTGAGTTTGTAACAAAAATGGCTTTACTTTTAGATATTCTATACTCACCAGTTCGCATTGCCTGCCTTTAAATCCTGACATGCACTGACATACAAACGACCCATATGTATTAAAACATATTCCATGATTGTAACATGGCGTATTCAGGCATTCATTGATGTCCAATTGGCACATTCTGCCATGATAACCAGTATTAGTGCAATCGCATGTGAAGTTGTTAATTCCGTCATTACAAATGCCACCATTTACGCAGGGATTTGATGCACATTCGTCCACGTTGATTTCGCATTTTTCGCCAATAAAACCTGGTTCACATATACAAGAAGCGACACCCGTAGTTTGGCTTACTTCACACAATGCTCCATTGAAGCATTCTCTTGGCTGACACAATGTCTAAATAAAAAAAAAATATTGAAATATATATACAAGTATTTAAATAAAAAAGGGGTCATTTTTACCGACTTTAAAACGCTGTATCTTTGTTTGATTTCTAAAAAATTTTCAGGGTATACTAACGAAAATATGGTCCTTAACAGCATATTTTTTTTACTTAAAAAAAGTTATTTTTCGAACGTTTTTAATTATTAAATAAAAGAGCTTTAAAAATATTTTCTCGAAAAACCTTCGAACACGTAAACTGAGATATAAGTTGAAGTATTTTTATACAAAATTTCATAAAGATTGGTAAAGGCGTTTTAGAGCTAGAATTTTTTTACTTATTATGCGTTAATTTTGACGGGCAGTGTATATACATATAATAAAAATAAACAAAAATACAAAATAATAAATTTAAAGAAGCATAATAAATAAAGAACAAGAAATAAAGAGATAAGGAAAGATAACAAAGAAGCAAAAGAAATAAAGAGATAAGGAAAGATAATAAAGAAACAAAAGAAAATAAAAGAAATTAGAAAAGGGAGCAGAAGAAAGAAAATAATAAATTATAACTGACAACAATCATTCTAAATATTAACACATAAACAGATTTGTAAGTATAATCTTTGAAGCTATATATTTAAACTGACATGTGGTGTAAGAACGCACCAAGTGGTAAACAAATACTACTAACTAAAAAACTTATATATACTAGGCCAGTGTAAAAATATATGACGGAGTTAAAATGGTAGCAATGGTGACACAGTTTATATTAGCCTATTATACATTGTATTATACATTGTATTATACATTGTATAATACAATGTATAATAGGCTAATATAAACTGTGTCACCATTGCTACCATTTTAACTCCGTCATATATTTTTACACTGGCCTAGTATATATAAGTTTTTTAGTTAGTAGTATTTGTTTACCACTTGGTGCGTTCTTACACCCAGGCCCGGACTGGCCAGGTCCGCAGGTCCGCGATCGCGGAGGGCCCCTGCCTGAGAGGGCCCCGAAGGGGTCCCCACATAATGTACAAAAAAGTTTTTGTCTTGTTAGAAGTTATTTGGAGTTCTTGGTAATGTGTTTACATTTTCAAAAGTAGAACACGTCCAACAACTGTTTATATCTCGCCGTTTATACGAAAGCTTTATACACGTGTTGTACGCAAAAACAAAAACCTATGCAAGTGCAGTTAATCTTAAGCTAGACGAAAATGACATTGATGTCGAGTTAGAGTTGGACTTTAAGAGAAAAAGAACGTCAAAGAAAAAATTTATGCCCAGTGAAAAATCATCAAAAGATGAAGCTGACTCTATTTCAACAGTTCAACATTACAAAGTTGTATATTTTGATATTTTAGACTGTGCGAGGATGAGTATTAAAGAAAGATTTTGCGCAAACAAAGACGTTTTACAGGATTGCTCTTGGTTAGACCCTATCTTGAAACTCGAAACATTTCCCACAGAAGCCCTGCGCAGTGTTTCTAAACTGTGTAAAATTGAAAGAAGTCGGCTTTTGATGGAGCTGCGACAGTTTGCACAACAATACAGCAACTTCATAGCGGCAGAGTCCACTGAAAACTACGGAGACAGATGTAATGACGAAGAAGACGATTTGGACCCAACCGAAGAATCGGAAAAAAATGCTGAAAATAGACAATGTTTCCAGTGTTTGACATGTGCTTTTTCTGTTCTGTTTGAACTTACTCAATCTGGATTGTTTACCAACCTGTATATTGCATATAAATTTATTCTTGCCATACCTTGTACCCAAGTCACATGTGAACGAGTTTTTTATAAACTTAAAATAGTCAAAAATTGACTTCGGTCGTCTTTAGGCCAAGACCTTATGTCCAGTCTGCTTTTTATTAATGTTATTAAGCTGTTACTTTAGGGCTAGAGAAGTAAAATGTCGAATCATCCCAGGTAAGTTAAGCCCCTTATTCTAGTATAACAATATTGTAAACTGTTAAATACACAGGATTTTTTAAAAATGTTAGTATTATTTTTCTAATCCCTAAAATCCGTATAACATTATTTTTATTACACAACTAATTTTGACATCATTCATTATAATTTGGTGTGAATAAAATACTGCACTTTATTTTGAACTCCTTTGTAATTATTGGCAGTTCTACAGTATGTGTTTTGTAGTGTTGTGGTATCCTAAAAATACTGTGAATTTCTTATTTTAATAAATAATTAAGTCAACAATCGAAAATCATAATATTCGTATAAAAACCTAGCTGAATTTATTCTTCGCGTAAAACGCGTTTTCAAGCACTTAATTTTCAAAAAATTTCCATACCCTCCCAGACCACCGGTAGAGGGCCCCTTTACAGGTTTTAGCTGAGGGCCCCAAATGGTCCCAGTCCGGGCCTGCTTACACCACATGTCAGTTTAATATATAGCTTCAAAGATTATACTTACAAATCTGTTTATGTGTTAATAATAATAACGGAGTTAAAATGGTAGCAATTTTTACATTAGCCTAGTATACAATTTGTATACTAGGCTAATGTAAAAATTGCTACCATTTTAACTCCGTTATTATTGGAGCTACAAAATCGGTTAGATTAGCGAATTGGTGGGATTTTTTCTTCAAATTAAAATGTTGATAACAAAAACAATTGAACGCCGGGTTTCCGAAATATTGACAAAAATATTTTGTTTTAATTGGACACACTTGCTTATTAATTGTTTATTTTTAATTTTTATTTTTAAGACTCGTTGTGTGGATTGTGGGGTAGTTAACAATAATTTTTTGTTCCAATCACAATCCACACAACAAGGTCCGTTCTATCTCGTTTCGCGCATACTAAAACAAATGTGGCAATGGTCAAAATATTGACCTTATTTTTTTTGCCTTCTTAGCAAAAACAATTTTTAAAAAAATTGAGTAGATACACTTAATTTTTTATATTTTTTTGTATGTAGTAAACATTTACCTACAATTCAAAAAAAAAATTGTCGATCGAAACAGTTTTGGCCAAGGTATACTACTAAAGTTTATCGCCTAAAAGTGATAAATTATTCAAGTTAAGGGTGTTTTGAGTGTTTTTATTTTAATCAGTAAATTAAGCAAATTTATAATTATACCATACCTGTGTGCTCATGTCAATATCGCATGTTTTCCCGGTAAAATCTGGATGGCAAATGCAACTAAAATGTCCCTGATGATTAGAAGTGCAAGTACCGCCATTCTTACACGGTTGTGTGGATTTCTGACAGGGGTCGCCCAAGTCGATTTCGCAATTTTTTCCAGTGTATCGCGGATGACACGCGCAAGAGTAATCCTTCAACCCGTTCAGACAAGTGCCGAACATGCAAGGTTCGACTATGCAAAAATTGACGGATGGTGGGTTCTCGATAACGCACGAGTCTTGCGGTATGGGGCAGGGTTCGAATGCCACGTTGTGATTCGAGATAATGACGGAACTTTGAAAAACTATGGACGGTCCTTCTAGAAGACACCCATTAAACTGTTTTCCTATTAGGAGCACCGCTGCGCCTTCGTTGTATAGGCTAGGACTTGTTAGGAGTTCGGTGTTATAGGTTATATTTGCAATGACCAATGATAGTCCGTTTATTTCCATCGTCAAAATCCCCAAAATATACTGTAAATACACAGTATACCATTTGTTGTTGATAAAGTCTCCAGGAATTTTGCTTTCAAACTGTTTACCAAGTGTTTTTGCATGAAAGAATAAGCCTACTTCGTTCACAGATATTTCTATTAAGTCGTCATTTTGTTGTTGTGAAAATAATATTCCACCTAAACAAAAATTAAAATAATTAAAAAGAAATGTGCATTAAGGAATTATATTATACCTGTACATGTCCGAAAACTAATACCAGTCGGTTTTTTTAACGAAACTGTTGTTTGCAGTCTTATATAGGATGATCCATTAAAGTAGGCCTCTGATTGGTTTGATGGTCCCAAAAATTGAGCTTTAGTGTTTGAACTTAAGCTTAGCCCATAACAAAATACTAAAAAAAATATTGTTATTTAATTTTTTTGTTAAACAGGCGCACCAACTTGAAGGTGTTTGATCTACAGAAACTTAGGAATCACAGAAAATTGTTAAAAAAATTCAATCTTCATTATTTAAAAAGGTATGAGAGCGTAAGCATCGAGTTTTTAAACTTAAAAATAATGGGTTTACATTGTTTATATTTTTTCAAGTAATATTATAGTATAGATTAGGCCACAATCCACACAACAAGGTCTGTTCGATCTCGTTGTAAAAATACTAAAAATCACTGCAACACTGCACATGATACAATGGCGGCCATTTTTGTTGTTTAGAATTCTTGTGCTTTGGGTTTGTACAGATTAATAATCGTTTTAAACGTTGTTTTTCTTACATAGAGACTTGCAAGCCTTAAAAGAGACCTCAAAGTGGTAAGAACACCTCTTTTGTAAAAAAATAAACCTTATTCTATCAGGGCTGTCAAATGTCAATTTGAAGGTTAATTTGTGGGTTATAAAGTAACCTTAAATGAACCTTCAAATTGACATTTGACAGCCCTGATAGAATAAGGTTTATTTTTTACAAAAGAGGAGTAAAATGATTGTTCTTACCACTTTGAGGTCTCTTTTAAGGCTTGCAAGTCTCTCTGTAAGAAACACAACGTTTAAAACGATTATTAATCTGTACAAACCCAAAGCACAAGAATTGTATGATGTGCAGTGTTGCAGTGATTTTTAGTATTTTTACTACGAGATCGAACAGACCTTGTGTGGATTGTGGATTAGGCGTAATTTGATTTAAACAATGCAAGACTAGAGAGAGGGACTCGTCCTAAAGAGATGGCTCTGGGCACGTTTCTAGATATTGAAGGAGCTTTCAACAACACCTCCTTCGAGTCGATAAATAGAGCTGCAGAAGGCTTTGGCATAGAGAATACCATTGTCAAATGGATCCGTATCATGCTGGAAAGCAGGATCATTACAAGCTCGATTGGAACTACGGAGATCAGCTCAACCGTAGCCAGAGGCTGCCCGCAAGGAGGAGTACTATCGCCCTTGCTGTGGTGCCTAGTGCTGGATGGGCTACTTCGTATCCTAAACGAGGAAGGCATATACACTCAAGGCTACGCGGACGACCTTGTCATCGTCGTAGCCGGAAGGGTACCAAACACTATTAAAGAGATCATGCAAAGAGCTCTTAATAAGGTCGAAAGGTGGTGCAACGAACACGGACTATCCGTCAATCCGGATAAGACAGAAGTAGTACCATTCACCAACCGAAGAAACATTAACCTTGAGGGGCTTACGCTCTTCGGATCAAGACTGACCCCATCCAAATCAGTCAAGTATCTAGGAGTCATCATTGACTCCAGGCTGACCTGGAAGGAACATGTCAACAGGGTCGTCCAGAGGGCCACTCATAGCCTATGGGCATGCAGAAAGACCATTGGACGCACCTGGGGCCTACAACCCCACATAGTGCACTGGCTTTACACAACAGTCATAAGGCCAATGATCACATACGGCAGCCTTGTTTGGTTGAATGCGTTAAGCAAGCCCACCTACAGGAAGAAGATGGACAAGCTCCAACGACTTGCCTGCATGGGCATAATCGGAGCTTTCAGAACCACTCCAACATTGGCAATGGAGGCCATACTGGGACTGGCGCCTCTACATCTCTTTGTGGAGGCACGGGCTCGGGAGGCCTCAGTCAGACTCAACGATTGGGGACAGTGGACTCAAGGGGGGGAAAACTCAGGGCATGCAAGGGCCTGGACTGAGACTATCAACCGGGACCCCCTTCTCACAAGAAGGGATGCAATACCAAAGACGTCTACCCCCCTCAGGAGATATAAAGTGGTTTTCCCCTCCAGAAACGACTGGAGTGAGCCTGACCCAGGCTTTCTCAAACCGGAAGGGCTCATCTGGTATACAGACGGGTCTTTAATGAAAGAAGGTGCAGGAGCTGGTGTATATGGAGAGCGATCTGGGGCGAGAATAAGCCTTGCACTAGGTCGTTACCCAACGGTATACCAGACTGAAATCTTTGCCATCCAGATATGCGCCCAAGAGAATCTCCAGAGAGGCTACTCGGGTAAACATATCTATATATGCAGCGACAGTCAAGCAGCACTCCGGGCTCTTCACTCGGAAAGGGTCAACTCGAGACTTACACTGGACTGCATAAAAACCCTTGAACTACTCAGTGTGCTCAACAAGGTTAACCTTATCTGGGTACCGGGTCATCGAGGCATCAAAGGCAACGAGGAAGCAGACCAGCTGGCTCGTGAGGGCAGCAACACGGCCTTCTTGGGGCCAGAACCTGTCATAGGGGTCGCCTCATGTCTGGTAAAAACCAAAATCAGGAACTGGACTAACGACCAGTTCCAGAAAAAATGGCGTGATCAACAAGGCCTCAGGCAGTCAAGGGCCTTTATAAAGAGTCCTACTACCTGCAAAGAGGCAAAAAGACTCCTGAAACTTAACAGGAACCAGTTAAGAACCATCACAGGAGTCCTAACAGGACACTGGGTGGTCAAATACCACCTACACAAAACCGGACTCAGCAACGAGTCGGACTGTAGGTACTGCAGCGAAGTAGACGAAACTACCGAGCATATAGTCTGCGAATGCGACGCTCTAGTCAATAGTAGACTAAGACACCTAGGGGACAGATACTTGGAACCAGAGGAAATAATGCATGCCCGACCAGAGCGGGTCTGCGCTTTTCTTAAAAGCTGCGGGCTCGTAAGGTAAGGCAGAGCTTCACCAAAAGGGGGTTTGCACAATGGGCCGTATGTGTGCCTAAGTGCTGCCTGCAAAGGCTCCCCTTCAAATCAAATCAAATCAAATCAAACAATGCGAATGTGTTCGGCATAATGTGCAAACAATTGATTATCAAAACAATTAATTCTTATATTTATTCTTATCCTTGACATCTATGTTGACATCACACCATAGATAATTATTGACAGTTACAATTCAAAATTAAAATGTGTTATATTATTTCTGATAGATATTGAAATGTATTTTTTTTGTGTCAAATGCAAGAGTCCTTTTAAAGGACTCCTTCAGCCAGTTTGTGTGTGTGTGTGTGTCACACACACACAGTGTGTGTCAGTGTAATATTAATATTTTTTTAGTTTTTTAGTTCCTGACAGGGGTATTTCCTTCTGTCCAGTGGGTCGTATTTGGTCAATTCATTTTGAAAGTTTCTAATACTGTTGATTGTTGTCATGATGATTAGGAATAAAATTACCACTTTATTATCAGGCAATGTAGCCATTTAAAGAAAATATGTGTCGTCTGTATCTTTTTAAATAATAAAGGTAGAATTTTTCCTGGGGGTCTGTCATACACCTTGGACACTCTGGGTCATACAGGCCATATGTATACAGAATATTACAAAAGAGTAAATAGTTTAAAATAAACTGTAATTAAGTTTTATTATACAATTATTTCAAATTAATTATTACTTTTTATATGAAAGAACAAAGGTTAATATTATAAATAATATAACATTAATTAAATACCCTAGTTTACATTGGATGTTCAACAACAAACTTTTAATTTTTGTATATATTTTGACTCGCTTACTTAAATACAGTTTGTAGTAGGTAGTTTTTTTCAAGCGGCCATGATATACAACCTTATCCCAAATAGCACACGACCTCCCAAGGACATCCTGATTGGGTCTGTCCGGGCCAGTTTAGGATATCCCATTTCTGACGTACCTTGGACGTCCCTAGGACGTCATAGAATTAAATTGGCAATAGTATACCATCCCAGATAGCACAAGAGGTACCCAGGACGTCCATTTCGGGTCCCACATAGGTCCGAACGTCCTAGACCTATATCGGAAGTTTTGGGTACGTCCAGTCTCTTACTTATTTGGGAAAATTATAGCGGATATACTGGGTACGTCCCAAGGACGTAATTGAAGCATTGTGTTTCCAAAGGGTCTAAGTGCCAAGTTGGTTAAATAATATATTATCATTTATTTAATTAAACTATAGTTATATGATATCTTACAGTATTCTCTTTTCTTAAGAAGTAATTACTTCTTACTGAAATCATATTATTAACTTTTTAAGACGTCAACATGGAGACGTCACATTTATGACATTTTAATGCGATTCTTTCTTCTCACCGCTGTAACTGCTTGTGTTTGATATAAGAAGCGGCGAAGTAGAATTTAGAGCGTGCTTCATACCAAACGGTCTTAGACCTAGGTAAACGGCTACTCGATACTGACGAGCTTCAAAAGAGGGAAACAGGCCGTCTATCGGTGCCGGTGAAGAGCACGCTTAAATTTAAACAAAAGTGAGACGAAGTAATCGCAATTCCTAAAATAAGCGAATACTAGCAAATTATTAAAATGATTTTAATAAAATCCATTTAACAAATTAATAAAATACGTCATATTGCTGTCTGTGCCTTTGGGAATACCACTCTTCAATTCTGTAAAGCTTGTCCATTAGTCCCCAATAAAGCATTTCAGGATGGCCAGAGGATGTCCTACTTAGGACGTTCTGGGGACCGAAGATTTGGTAACATCGGATGTCCCTGGAACGTCCTGGGGAAGGTTCAGGACCTGATTCGGACGTACTCGGGACTTACTAATGTCTGATACAAGATATACTCAGGACGTTTTTAGTACTTCTTTGTGCTATCTGGGATATTCCAAAAGGCAAAAAATGTATAGCATTTGCATCATCTGTCACCTGTCTAATGATCCAAAGTGACACATATCTGTCACCTTTAATTTTAATGTTTATTAAATTTTAATCATGGCATTGTTTTCTCAATATGCGCATTAAATGCTTTTTATTTTTTTCATCGAAAACCGTTAGTCGTACGAAAAATGGTCAAGAAATCAAATTTGCCTTAAAATTAATGGGGATTTAAAAAATAATTTTTATTTTGAAAAATAGCAGTGGCGTGCATAATATTTTTCCAAAAATATCTAGACCACAATCTGTACGGGCGCCACTGGTACAAAAAATTAAAAATCTTCTACATCAAAAACTTACTGTTAATGCTT